CCTCTTCATCCTTTCCATCCTCCCCATCCTCTCCATCCTCACCATCCTTTCCATCCTTTCCATCCTTTCCATCCTTTCCATCCTTTCCAACCTTTCCATCCTTTCCATCTTTTCCATTCCTTCCATCCTTTCCATCATTTCCATCCTTCCCATCCTTTCCATTCTTTCCATTCTTTCCATCCTCTTTCCCATCCCCTATCTCTATATTCCTCCTTCACCTACACTCACCCACCCTTCCCCCACCACCCCCGTATCCTTTTTTCCCTTTTTCCCTGCCACCATTTGGCTTTAGTAAAGCAACCTGCCATTTCTCACCAAACGATTCTCCAACATGTCTTTTCGTTTTACATTTGATCCCCCATGTCCAACAATTCAATTACACCTGACCCCCAGAAATATAACTGCATCGATTTTAACCCCCCGCCCGCCCCTCCCCCTACCTCCTGCCTATCATCCCTTTATCAGATATTGAACGACAAAACAGTTTTTCATTTTGCAATCGGCATGACGTTCCACCGTTTGTCACTCATTAATTAATCAAGTGATTGCATGTACCCACTGATTTATCCGATCAATTTTCACCAGTGATAAAAATATATCAGCGATAAAGTTGATTGGTTGAATTTTTTTTTTTTCCCCTCTCGGTATGTTTTACCATGTGTCATGAATATTTCGGTGGCATTTCAAATGATAACATTGAACGAGTTAAATGACACGAGTTGGACAAAGTGGTGTCGTAAAATCGATCAATATTGTTTTTCATTGGTGAAACTGAGAGGTGGGAATTGAGGAATCAGCGAAACGCGACGATTTTTCACGGGTACTGGAGTTCACTGAGTATGTCCAGTTTTGGTGGGTGGAAAGGGGGTGGAAAAGCGGTGAAAAGGGGGTGGAAAGGGGGTGGAAAGGGGGTAAAAAGGGGGTGAAAAGGATGAGGAAGGGACAACAGGGGGGAGGAAGGGGATGGGAATCATTGAAAGTGCTTTCAATCGTTTTGGGGAAAATATATAAACGATCTCTCTGCGGTCGTTGGGTGGACTGCGGGGAGGAAAGGGGAGGAAAGGGGTGGAAAGGGGAGAAAAGGGGTGGGACGGGGGGAACAGGGTCGTTACCAATGTTCCCTCCCTCCCCCACCAAACTCTGTGGTGTATATAAACCGTTGATTCGTTTCCCTCGTTGGCATTGTGGCACAAGTTTTGTCCAACTAGGTAAGTGAACAGAGTTTATATAGCCAAAGCACCATCGTTGTGGCCTTCGTAAAACGCTTCGCGTTTGGTCGAGCATTACCGCGAGACCTAACACGCGTTTTCTCGGTGGCAGGCTCTCTGATATCGCTCCAAACGACTCACGATAAAGGTGGGTAATACTGAAACACCCTTATAGCGGTACCAACGGCATTACTCCACTGATATAATACTTGAATTAAGTTGCTACCCATTATTTCACATTTTCCGCAAGGATATTCAATAAAAATTACCGAACATCGGTTATCGTATTTTTTATATTATTATTTATTGTGCATTGTTTTTTAGCGTTGGTTCGAACGAAATTGCGAAATCCAATGGAATAATTATGTATGGTAATTGATAATTGAATAATAATTTTAAGATTTTTTAATGGTTAATTATTTCAACTAATTTCGATTAATTTCGACAGGTGAAACGAAATATTTTTTTTTTATTCGCGCTGTTTAATTGAAATTACGGCGTGTAATGAGTAATGGATGATAAACTGATGGATATGTAGAGAAATGGGAAAAAATTCAATTAATTGTTCGAGGGAAATAATTCAGTGGAAATTATACCGTAAATTGCAATTTTCATGTGAAATATTCTTGCGGGAATTTTACGTGGAGACGGTGGAAAATTGCGGGGGAAAATCATGTCGAGGATTGAAATATAATTTTTACGTGAGATTCCATAAAGTTGCGAGGAGTGGAATCTGAAGTATCATTTATATATCCCAATTACATTTTACGTTATTTTACAGATTTCCCTGATTTCTGGTCATCAAAATATATATTTATTGATTCCATAATGACCTGTGAATATAATTCTGCAATAAAATTGTAATAAAAAAAAAATTCTACCGAATTCCAACAATAATTGACCTCGAAGTAAATCCGAGATTTAATTTCTGGAGAAAAATCTCATGAAATTGTCAATCGAAATAAAAAGAGCTGAGACTACCTCACTTAAAAATTCAATTTGACTTAAATATTCACCATGACATGTTCTCGAATGTCCGATTAATTCAACGTACAATAATATACTCCCCTGAATCTTCCAATTAAATAATTGAATGATTTTCTCTGAATAACTCAACCAAAACTCGTGGTTCCAATTTATTTCGATCACCGGGAGTCTCCGAGTCCAATAAAAAATCCATTCATTATTTATTTATGTGCCCTACTTGTCAATAAATTAACTGATTGATCAATAAACACAAAATAAAAAAAATGAACTAATTATTTTGCTTTCAACCTAATTAGCGGTTTGATGACGTCAGAATCCAATCAATTCCCTCCATCCAGACATTAATCATCACTCCCCGTAAATTCTCTGATCGTAACATTTCGAAATCCTTCCTTTTTCTCCACGAACAAAGAACTCTCCGAAAAGTTATCACCACCTTCCGGTTGTTAATGGTGTACCGTCGACGCAGTGGCAAAAATTTTAGCTGTTACCCCACAAATTTAAAGGGCGTGCAAGGGATTTCATGCGTCGGATGTGGTGAACCCCTCGATTCAATTTATACCCACTCTCGTAGGAGACATCCGATTGTTGACTAGAGACTATTTTTTTTTCTCGAGATTGAGCATCGACTCCACTCTCGGTCCAGCCATTTCCGGATTTTTCTCTCTATGAAATACGAGCTTCCTCTACGCCAAAGATATTTGCCAAAGACGAGTCTCAAGTGGTGCACCATTCATAGAATAAATCGAATGGCAAAATGGAACTCAATAGTTTCGCACCAGTGATTACAGAAATAGTATTTGATTATTTGATTTAGGTCGATTAATGGAGGATCTAGGTCATCCTGAGATAAATTACTGAATTTATTTTCTTTTTATTCATTGGTTTGTCTCATCTCTTGCTGGAATATGGGATGATAACACCGATAGTGGGGGCTTGTAACACTCCAGCACGAACAGAGACTGGGATCAGGAAAAAGGGCCCTGAGGATGGTGAGCGATAAAACAAGCGGCCTGGAAAATGCACGGATCAACGAACGAGATGTTTCAGCAAAAAAAAATCAGTCTCGAATCAGTTACGAGTGAGTTCTGGATCTATCTATCAGGGTTTGTGCTTCACTCTCGAATTTCCTTCGCTCTTTCACTGAACCCACACCATCCACTGGACCCTTAATACGTTATACGGTACGTTATATCGTTTTCTCATTTCCCCCCCATTTCTCGGTACTTCCACTTGCTATATACCCAGAGATCCTGAGGATTTATGTGAGATGTAATGTGAATTAAACTAACGTTTGTTCAAACTGATGTAAAAGATCCGCTTCGAATCATCCAAGGGATGAATAATTACCTCTAAATCATTTGCGCATCGAGTCTCAATAAATTCATTAAATAATCATTATTAATTATATATCATCTCGCAACTTGTATAATTAATAATAATTGTAATAATTTCATATATTAAATCGTTAAATGAAGCAGAGAAAAAAGTTGGAGATGAATAACGAAATGATGAATAATTGATGTAATCATAATTCATGGAATAATTAAATTAAATATTATATTTAATTAAATATTTTTTTTATTTCCTACCAGTAGAGATTTTGGGGATTCAGTCGTGTCCACCTGCAGAAGATGATCTCAAGTTTTTGGAGATTATTGGAGGAATGATCGGTTGCCGATTGGATGATTCGGTATTGTCTGCTGGATAGCAGGTGATTCAGGTGATTTAGTTGTTGGAAATGCCGGGGTCTGTACAGCGATGGTCGGTAGTGTAATTCTATTGGTATTATTAAGGTACCAAGAGGTGGCGTGTGATGTCTTTCAGGATCTAGCGCTCCTCATCTCAGTTCTGGCGGTTTGAGTGACCCCAGCGGCATCGTAGTACTGCACCCCAAGAGAGGGCGCAAAATCGAGGAGGTATTCACTGAAATTTGAAAAATTCGAAATTTTTGAAAAAGTATCAGGGGAACATGAAAATCGAGGAGGTATTCACTGAAATTTGAAAATTTGAAATTTTTGAAAAAGTATCAGGAGAGCATGAAAATCGAGAAGGTATTCACTGAAATTTGAAAATTCGAAATTTTTGAAAAAGTATCAGGAGAGCATGGCACTTGAGGAAGTATTCACTGAAATGTGAAAATTCGAAACTTTTGAAAAAGTATCAGGGGAGCATGAAAATCGAGGAAGTATTCACTGAAATTTGAAAATTCGAAATTTTTGAAAAAGTATCAGGAGAGCATGAAAATCGAGGACGTATTCACTGAAATTTGAAAAATTCGAAATTTTCAAAAAAGTATCAGGGGAGCATGGAAACCGAGGAGGTATTCACTGAAATTGAAAAATTTTAAATTTTCAGAAAAGTATCAGGGGAGCATGGAAACCGAGGAGGTATTCACTGAAATTGAAAAATTTTTAATTTTCAGAAAAGTATCAGGGGAGCATGAGAATCGAGGCGGTATTCACTGAAATTTGAAAATTCGAAATTTTCAGAAAATAAAATTCACCCAGTCGATTAGTCCCTCTGACACTGACAGCGGGACTGCTACTGAGGCAGCTACCGAGTCGGCTGACGGAGAGACGCCCCACCATTGGGTGCGGCCCCCTCTTTCTCTTGGGGGCCCCCCTCTTTCTCACTACAATGCCGGTGGGGTCACTCAAACCCCCATTGAGCGGCTCAGTTCTGGGAGAGTACCCCACCCCAAAAGAAAGAGGGGGCGCACCCAACGGTGGGGCGTCTCCCCGTCAGCCGACTCGGTAACTGCCTCAGTAGCAGTCTCGCTGTCAGAGGGATGACTCGACAGGGTGAATTTTATTTTCTGCGTTACGAAATTGGTATTCGCTGAAATTTTAAAATTTTATGGAGTCACTTAATTGGACTTGGTTGAGGGTTACATGGGGGCAAAAAATTTAAGTGACTCCATAAAATTTTCAATTTTATTAAATACCAATTTCATAACGCAGAATATAACACTCACCCCGTTGACTGGTCCCTCTGACAGCGGGACTGCTATTGAGGAAGTTACCGAATCGACTGACAGGCAGACACCCCCAATGCCTGTGGCGCCCTCCCTCTCTTGGGGTGCAGTACTACCTTGCCGCTACGGTCACTCCAACCCCCAGAACTGAGCTTCTACTTTAGTCAATCCTCTTTGGTCGTAATTGTGAAATATCGTATCAGCCGGTGTGATAAATACCGGACGGTTTTTTTTTCTCCTTGGTGGGGACGAAATAATCAGCCACCTGATAAGCCACTTTGCTGGATCATCATCATTGCAGCCAACCCAGTTGTCTCCTGAGGTAAGTTTATTCTTCCATTATGACGCGTTTCTCTGGAATTTTCTGGGGATTATTTAACATTTACTTTGGGATTTAATTGATTTGACAGCGCGGTGACATCTAAATAGCTACTGTCGGCATTGAGGAAATGCCGGTTTTTCCGTATCCATTTTTTTTTTCGTGACAATATCGTTGGGTAACACCTGTGTGTCTGCGCACGATAACGGTGTCATGGGAATTCCCCCAATTCCGATCGAGACATTTCATAACGCAACATTTTTCGGATTTATCGGTAAATAAAAATAGATGGATTCAAGTAAAAAAAAAAGGATGGCGGAGATAGAATTGAGTAATGCCGAGATAAGTCAAGGAAAATCTATTTTTTCGTAGGGAAAATTCTTGCAGCCGAGATCATGAAGAGCGATGTGTAAATTTTAATTCTTCTCGGATTCATTGGTTTTAATTAAAATTTTTTCATCGCGCTTTTATGTTATTTAATATCAGACTACCGCAAAAATTAGGGGTTTTTTTCCCGATAATTTGTTGCGCGCAACGTAATTAAATCCCCAGGATACAACAAAGGATTTTACTCCAAAACTTATTAATGAAAACATTATCACGTGGCCTTATCACGTGAAATGAGATCGCGAGGAAAAACCGCCGATTTGATTCAGCATTTATTTTCCTCCGAATGATTTCCTTTCGCACAAGGAAAAATCTTTCAATTCAAGAATGTCATTCTCCGAAGTTTAAAAAACACGCGCATCAATCTATCATTTGCAAATTAATTTTTAAACATTAAAAAAAATAATTTCGAACGCGAAGAGAATTTTTAATACTAACTGTTGATTGCATCCCCTTTCCAGATTATTTTCAGAGAGAACAAAGTCCGTATTGATCCTGAAAAAATGGATAAGGTACCAATAGTCCCCGCAGATGATGCGGCAAAATCGAGACTAAAAAAATTGGCGTGGCATTTCGAATGCCATCACAAAGCGAAACCGGAATTTTTCATTCGGGTTCCAGGCCGGTAAATGAATATGGCGTAACTCGGAGCGTTTGAATCCACGAGTCCATTGAAATATTCACCCAATGACATTTTCCGTTCCAGAGTGAATTTAATCGGTGAACATATCGACTACTCCGGATATGCGGTGTGTCCAATGGCCATTGAACAAAATATTCTCGTAGCAATTGGACAGAGTAAAGATGACAGAATATCGATAACGAATATCGATCCCAAGTACGAAGAAATTGATATGGATTTGTCGATATCATCTTTCCGGTAAATCAATGGTTAATTGCATTCCCTTTGCGATTCGATATTGCGATTACTAAAACATTCTCGCAGTAGTTTAATTATTAATGAAGAAACGAATTTATTTTAGTGAAGTTTTGATGAGACATGAAATAAAGTGGTACAAATACTTCGTATGTGGTCTCACTGAGGGTTTTGAACTAGCTAAATCAGGACTCGAGCTCATTCGTGGCTTGAACACATCAATTTGGGGAACAATTCCACCTGCAGCTGGTCTCTCAAGTTCCAGTGCCCTCGTTTGCTCCGGTGTTCTTGCCATTACCCACGCTAACAAGGTAATAGACTCGATCAGATGTGAGACATTTGACGACGGAAATCCCCCGGGAACTTTGGCGACTGCCTTATTTTCAAACTTTTTACAACGATTTTTATAAAAAAATATCAGCGCGAAAAGGGAGAATGAGGAGGAAGTGGTGGTGAATATGAGACACTAAGTTGGATAGTGATGATAAAGGGCTTTGGGCTTTGGATAGTTGAATTCCATTGTCCAAGATATTTTACTGGATCGAAATTTGTTGAGTAACTGACGCATCCGCCTTGGGGCTATGCATCAAGTTGAAGTTTCTCTGGGATACGCTTCAGTCACTTAAATCGTTGACGTTGAATAATATTTGGAGTAAAGGGGATGTGTCGGTTTAGGGTAATAGCATTCACCGAATTTATAGCAGCTATTTCAGATAGTTCTAGGATTATTAGTTAGAGATTCATCGAGCCCACTAAGATGTATTGAATTTTCCATTCAGTCACTCTAATTGAATTTCACTCATTCATGTTTCATTCACTGAGAACTCGGGATTTGTGTCAAAGCCAACCAGCTACGCTAATTTCGGTATGTCATTTATTTGTGTTGCGCGTTCACTCCAAATCACAACTCAAACTCAAAATTTTATAAATTCTGCTCTCAAATTGAAATATAAAGCCATGATAAATTGAATCAGTCGTAACCCCCACGTGAATTACTCATTTCAAAATTAAGATTGAGTGCGGAAATAATTCAATTCCATATCCTTTACGAAATAAATTCTTGAAAGATTTTTCGGAGTTATTCCCTCAAAATTCCCGGACACAATCCCCCAAAAATAAATATTAAAATGAATAAATAAATATACATTGAAGAAGAATCAAAATAATTTGATTTTTCGGGTGATGTTTTCCGGAGGATTTTCCCCAGAACATTTTTCCCGGTTAAATAACACCGGACACCGCTTGTAATTTTCCAATAATACCCTTATCCCTCTGCTCTGTAGTTGCACTTGGCAAAAGATATTCTGGCAACGCAAAGTGCAAAAGCTGAGAGACTAATTGGAACAGAGGGCGGTGGAATGGATCACGCGATAGCATTTCTCGCCCAGCAAGGTATCGTCCTTACAGACCGCATTTTCATTAAATAGCCCGATGAAAAGGGACGTTATTACGACAATGTCATACAGATTATATTGATTTTCCATGGCAGGCACCGCAAAGCTGATAGAGTTCAACCCACTACGTGCGACAGACGTCACACTACCGCGGGATGCTGTCTTTGTTATAGCTGATAGCATGAAGCGACACAACAAAGCTGCATTCAACAACTACAATACAAGAGTCGTCGAGTGTAAGTTGGCGGCTAAAATAATAGCTAAAAAATATGGCATTTGCTGGAGGGACATTGAGATACTGATTGACGTGCAACGAGTGCTGGGAAAGACATTGAAGGAGATGGCAGACATTGCCGCTCAGGAATTATCTGATTGTGACGTACAAGAGGTAAATCTTTACCCCTCAGTCTTCCATTTTTATTGACTCATTTTAAAACTACAGATATGTCAGATACTCCAAGTATCGGTGATGGAGCTGTCAGCTATCGTTAAAATTGACAACGATGATACGCGAAAATTTCATCTTCGCAAACGGGCTCAACATGTATTTGAGGGTAAACAATTTCACATGCTCTCTTAAATCGCTCACTTATCGTGTTCTCCTAAATCGTTCAGTCATTGATCTTGATTTATTGGTGGATCAGAGGCTGCCAGAGTTATCGAATTCCGGGATGTTTGTTGTCAAGAGAGTACCAACCAGATTCAGAGATTAGGGGAATTGATGATTGCGAGTCACAGGAGTCTACGGTATCTATTTGATTGCAGTATCGATGAGGTGAATCAGCTCGTTGATATGGCTATTGACAGTGGGGCAGCTGGTGCCAGATTGACAGGAGCTGGGTGAGTTAAAATTCTTTTTTGATTCTGGAAATTCCCTAATTAACTCCTCCATTCGCATTTTCACTTCTTTTTTTTTGTCAAGAGATGCGGTAGAACTACAAGACTAATAAGAGATTAGTGTCTTACTTTTAACACTTTTTGCAATAATTTTTGTGATTAAATGAAAATGGGAGCCAGTTGAACCAATAGTTCACGGAGACACGCGTGTTCCAGGTGGGGCGGATGTGTCATTGCCTTGACAACTAAAGACAAAGCTGATGAATTCGTAAAAGACTTGGGTGACAAAATGAGAGAGGCATATCACCTCAGTGATGAGACTGATATGGATACATTGATCTTCAAGACTGAACCAGGCCAGGGGGCCGCAGTGTACAGTAAATTCCCATTATAGTCGCCTGCCAGGGGCTGTAGGGGAAGCGAACTCGAAAAATCCGACTCCATTCAACTCCCCCCACCACGAGTTCCCTGCGACTATTAATTCTTTATTAAATCCATAATTAAATTGATGCAATTCTTAATTAAAAAATTGAATGTTTTCATCTCAAATTTCAATACGAGAGAATATTTATTTATAGGTTTGATTTTTCATCCTAGAGCCCGGGGGTAGTAGAACGGATACACAAAAAAAATAAATTGGAGAAAGGTAAAACTATAACGGGACTCAACTACACCTCAAAGATTTTTAAATATTCAAAAATGAATGCAATATTCTGTACAATATAAATGTCAATAAAAATCAATGAAACTGTTCTCTCTGGAGCAATCTCTCCATTAAACTTCTCCCCCAACTGAAGAGCACGAATCCTTCCACGAATCCCAGCGATTAATTAAAGACCACGGCCTAATGGAAAATTACTGCAATGAAGTCCCGAGTGAATTTCTCTCAACTAATTTCCCTTGGAAAATACTGAAATATCCTCCGCCTCCATTTGAATCCTCGAGATGTCACACACAAGTTCCCGTAAACAATTTCGCAATCACCTGGAGGCGCACGTTATGATACCGTCTTTTGAAGAAACAACCCACGAGCTCGTAGCCCCTAGATCTCGCCCACAAGCTGTCCCCTTTATTGCAATTTCATCGATGTATTCCGGCCATCGAACACGTTTCCCTATTTTCGTTTTTTTATTCAGTCCAGAAAGTTTTAAATGAGACCAGAAGTTTCAACGTCGGATAAATTAGCATTATACATTTCATGGGAGAGCCCGAGGGCCGACAGATCCCTTCGATCCTTTTAAACTCATGGTAGATTCAACTTTTGATTCATCCACTCTAAAAACGAATTGGACCCTCGATACCCATCACCTGCTTGATCAAAAAATAAACCCATACTCTCGATTTTTACTTCAGAATCACCGGAGGCGCATGCGTTTTTCCATTTGAACGCGCGTTTCGCGGAGGGTGAATTCAACGTATCCTAGTTTACCGCTCCAGTCGGCACCGAGCCATCCTGACGTTTATCCATCCTCATCCCCGTGATACCGATCATTCCCGCGTTATCGAAGAGTTCGCGTCGAAAGTGCCTGATAAATCGAGGTAATTAAATCCCCATCCCGTGATAATCGACAGAACTCTTGCCAATTCATTGGAATTCCGATCAAAACTTCAATTGATTTTTCAATTACCTGAGCTTAAACTCAATTACAACTGAAAAATCTTCCTAAATTTCTAATTAATTTCATCTTAAAAATTTAAAAAAAAATCAATTTTGAAAAATCGGGGGTTCCCCGGAATTCCTATTTTCCAATGGAACTCTGAATTTTCGGACTTTTTTCGGAAAATTTAACTTCAAATAATTTCAATTCAATTCCCCATTAACCGGGGACTCCCCGAAAATTCAGGGAAGTCCCCCTGAATTTCTGAAGACTCCGCAGATCAAATGATTCGTCACTGAAGAATTCCTTTGAAATTTCCCGTAAAAAATGATCCAAAGAAATTCTTCTCGCATCTGAAGTTTGAAGAGTTATTTTCCAACAGTGCAAAGAGACATTGCAAACAGTCTTAATGAACTGCCCCACGTTAAATTGGATGAGGTGATGATCCATGTGCTCGCGGCATGGCAATTATGCAATCCTGTTGCTGCTGGCGATCCGTCCGCAGGGGAAGTTTCGCCTGTGCCATCTACACCGGGGTGAGTTCCAACTCAGCTAAATTCGATTACCCAGATCAATTATTCCCCCCACTGCACAAACGTGCGAGAATTTTAAATAAAAAAAAAAATAAATAAAATAAATCAACCAATAGACGACGCGAATGTGATATCTCCAATCATCTCCCCTCACGATTCTATTTCAAAAACAGATGTCGTCCTCGAATAGTCTTATAAGAATGGAATTCCCAAGTGCTCGCAATAAAATACCAGAGTTATGCCACCGCGGGATGACAGTCATGCATTTCTAAAACATCTCCGGGGAGTCTTTGTTCCTGAAACGTCAACGGGAGTTGCCATTCAATAAAACGGTGTCACTCAACCTGACGGCATGCATAATGTTTGATCAAGTTACCAGAGTTTCATACCCCCAAGTGACAAGAAGACTCGTGTCATATATTTTCCGTTTGCATTCATCCCCCATCCATTTGTTGCACCCAATCACTATTTACCCATCCACTTCAATCGCCATTTATTCGACAAAAAATTGGAATTGAGCATTTGCAGTGGAGCCCGCAGCAAAAAAGCAATTGCATCGGACAATACGTAAATCCTATTGACACGTTTGTCAACAAAAAAAAATTCGCCTGCGGTATATTATTTTTTATTTGCGTTAAAAAATGGGGGAAAGCAATCAAAGCCGACGGAACATGAAACGCAAATTGCGAAACATCGGGTGGTGGCTTTTGACGTTGTACTGGAGGTACGGATGAAAGTAAATGCCGGAAAATGAGGACAAATGGATTAGACAAGTAACAATATAACTCCTGACATTAGATGGTGGAAGTTGTGAGAAGAGATTTGAGCTCGACATGTGATATTGTCTTGGGACCGTTAGCTCATATCGAATTTCTCCCCTGGGGTTAAATAACCCAGTGGATCTTACTGCAGGATTTCACGGAAGGTGGCCAGTGGATTTTCACCACCACCCGTCCTACACCAATTTTCTCGGTGATTTTTCCACCCGTTTTTCCATTTCGCTAAACAAAGCAAACGTGACGACTCACTATTTCAGGGAAGAGACAATCACTTGTCGCACGAAACTCGTATTGAGGGTTGGAAACTGGTATTTACGCAGGGAAGGAGCAAAAAGGCTCTGATGGAGCGGAATCCTATGTTTTTATATCTTTCTGTGTCACGTGCTTCGGAGGCACTCGATATTTCTTCGATATTTCAAGACGCGGAGAGAATTATTCCGGAAAAATTCACACAATCGCGAATTTCTCTTAAAACATTCCGCGAAATTCAACTTTTCAGGCAACATTTTAACTTTTTTATTGCCAATTATTTGTAATTGTTGTTAAATATTTAAGATGAAATATCCAGATGAGGGGAGTAATTTTAAACGAGAGTGGAATTGAGATTTAATCAGGATTGAATTGTTGTGTCTCGGAGTAGATCTCGGGGGTAAAATTCACCCGGTGAAGTATCTGACAGTTGAGAATCACCAAATACCAATTCCCAAACACAACTTGCATCTTCAACGGGAATCGATTGAATTAATGCCCGAAGGGCCGAAGATATCGCACTCCAGCACTCGTCCCAGGATTTCCCTCGGGAATAATTTTCTCAGCGTCAAGGAACTATTCCCTTCCAAAACACCAGCGATAACTCAAATCGTAAAATTATAATAACATTGCAAAGGCAAAATTTGAAAACCTCCAATACATTATCGCTCGTAAAACTTGGAGGGATAACGAAAAATCTATTGTAGAACACGAAGTTCTTGAGTAAAAGTTCGAAACGTTCGTAAACCGCACGAGACTTTCCAGGGCATTAACTGCACGTTGGGTGCAATGGATAAAACGAGTTATGAAGTAGTGGCACAAGAGTGATATCGATTGAGTGCAATTAAAAAGTTGAAGGAATCGTTTAATCACGAGTTCTGTAGGTTGAGAATTTTTGAGAGTTTTAACGAATCGACGAGAGAAGCTTTTTCATGTTCATTTTTTTAACGCGAGATCATTCATCTGAATTTGCATTATCAGTGGAGATATGATCCCTGTCCCTGGACATTTCAATGGTTCATTCATAAAATTTTCGATCCAGAATATCCCAGGAGGTGAAATTGTCTCGGTTGTTCCCCGAATCTTGACAGGGACTTCATTATTTTCCTTCACCTCTCATCCTCGTCACTCCAGTCCTTCAAACAATCCTCGAAATTAAGAGAACAAAAGAGACAATGGAGCAGGTGAAAAGTACTCAGGCTGCACAGACAATACTATTTCCCATGGTTAACGAATCCTCAAAGACACACCCACCACCTCGTTGATATCGATTGAAACAGCGCGGACTAAATAATCGATTCACGAAAAAAAAAGGGAAAACTCGTCGTCTCCGTCGTGAAACAGCAGAAAATTTTTTAATATAAAAACACAGCATCCCCTGTACCTAGAACAAATTGAAAATTCCTCGGGTGCAATTAATTTAAATATTTCCCTTCCACAGGATTTAATGGACTCGTGCCACTGCTCACCGATCGATTCCCATTTCTTCCGCTCCTTAATTGAATTATTGTCATTAATTATGGATAATGCAAATACCAACATGTCCGATAGATTTTTTAGTTATCGGAATAAATTAAATGTATCTATCAACAACAATATCCCGACATTTATGATATAAATCGATGTTTCCATAATTAAATTCGTAATCACTCGCAGATTAATTAATTACGGAATGAATAAATAATGTATATTTGTCATAGAATAAAAGATATCGACACTGTATTAAATATATTGTTATAGACTTATTGATGGACTTTTTTTTAAATATTCAGGATTAATATTTAATTTCAGATCTACTTCACCCTGATCGCCATGTCGACGGGCACAGTCTTGCAGGAAGAGGAGGAATACCTCTCCGGAAATCGTTCATTGCCTCAATCAGCGAGTTTCCTTGAGAATGAGTCGGTATCACCAGGTCAGTCCATCCGATTCCATGGATTCCTGTAGAAATCATCAATTATGTATTAACTATTATTGTACTTTGCCCTCAGTAACAGTGAGATTCAACGTCATACTGCTAATATGCTCGTGCTGTGGAGTTGTCGCTTGTATACTTCTGCTTTATGGATTACTCAAGGTACACACCAACGTGGATTAATTTTCTAAGGCGAAAAGACTGTGAGGCAATTTAATACGTCGTACAACCACCCAATCCCCTCACCCTGGAGCACCAGTGGAGAGATAATAAATAGAGACAGAAAATTCCAGCTGTGGAATTCTCTCGAGCGTTCAGGTCCACAGCAATTTTCCTGGAGGAACGTCGACACATAAGCCTTGGGACTTTGACTTGTCTTCTCCTATCGTATCCAGGATGGTCAGTTACTCCGTCCCAAATGAGTGAAACGTGTCTTGCCTGGGGCTGGAGAGAAATTATTTTTCTTTTACTATTTTTATGACGACCCAAACCGATTCGCTTCAACAGATTTTCCGTAGGACTTGCACTTCTGGATGATGGAGACTCTCAGTTGAAAATTTTCTTCTATTTATCCATTGGGATGACACATTTTTCCTTGTCTCATGACTCTCAAAGTTGTTACAGTGATTCCTAAATAGACGCCGGGGAAATGGAGGAAAAATACAGCTCCGGGTGGATGAGTTCCTGGGGGAGAAATGGGAGTGACGGTTTATAAGAAGGATAAACTCTCTTTGTATCACTTTCTGATACTGTAAATTTTCTAGTTAAACTCCTCCTCAGCTTTGATAGCCCTCCGGTATTGCTTGGACTTGTTATCACTTTTCGTATAGTCGTAGTCCAAAGTACACAATCATCGGTGCTTTCACCATAAAATGAAAGTACTAGTTCGAGTTATTTGCCAGTTACGCTCACCCAGAAAACAAGTATCATTACTCCACTGAAATCGAGACCTCGAATGGCAAATAAATTCACCAATATTATACCCAACCGTCAACTTAATACGTTTATCCGGTATGAAAATATATTCGTAATGGTATAAAATTCCCTGGGCGACGTGTGCATCTATTTTTTTTTTCTCCCATACCCACGGAAATGCCAGACTGCCCATAAAAGATGGAATAAAATCCCAGAGTCATTTAACTTTAATACAGGATAATAGAGAATGGAAAAGCACCTGATGGAAAACGAGGTGGTGCTTTTCGCGTGTAATATTCCCAGCATTTTCTATAATTCAAGGTATTTCGGTGCTTGCGGAAATTGCTGTTTTCCAAGTTAATACCCAATGGTGCAATTAACACCTCTGACATTTACGTAATTGACAAGCCTCATTTACTGAGTTACGACATTATTTTCAAATGGCCCACAAACCGAGTACAGGTGAGAATTATATTATTTTTTAATGCTTCCAGGACCAACGCTTCTTCATGATACCCTGGATCTGCTCAGTCATCACCTGCAGTCTTGTGGATATCAGTCACACCCTCTACTTGTTCTGTTCTTCTTCTGTAAGTTCCATATTCTGATTAATTGATTAATTAATTAATTAGATAACGAATTATCCCAGAATTTTTTATCTATATTATTAATGAATGAAGAAGATAATTGATATTGATTGGTTAGACTCCTCCATTGGGTGTTGATGGGTCTGTTTATGAAATATTGTGGGATAAAATCTTATAAAATCTTGATATCGAGGGAGTAACAGCTGCTGAGGAATTTATCGAGCTGCAGGGCGTTGTCCAGGAGATACTGGAACGAATGGACCGAGGGTTGTAAGAAAAAAGGACACCCCATTCCCTGGAGTACTGCACGCAATTTTCGTTGTGTCCAAATGATAGGGAGATCAATCGAATATCAATTTAGAGTGCATTTATCTCGGGAGAGCACCGATAAATTGATCGATCACTCCGCGATTCAGGGAATTTCGGGGAATCATCGGATCTGGGGTTTCGAGTACTCCGAGATATTCAATATTATTATGTTCCGCTCGGTTGGACCTCGAGTGAACATTTTCTAAGTTTTATTTTTCTTTTTTTCCTCGAAAAGTACAAAGTACGCTGATGGATATTTGCATGCCCGATTTCTTCCGGATGCGAGGAGTGAAAGAGACCGGAGATATTTCCGTTGTGATATCATCGGCGATTCGATATTATTGAATATTCCTCGACAGGTTTCAGCGAAGGAGAGCGAAACCCGTGCTTCCGGAATTTACCGGCTTCACATGCGGAAAACTTCGAGGAAAATGTCTCATTAATTTTCGACCTCAAGTACTAAAACTTCAGCTTTAACGTCGGCCATTCGAAATTCGAGAATACAAAATGAGACAAAATATTTTTGATTTATGCTATCGATTCAAGTCTCAAATCATTTATTTTCTCGACAATTCCGTTCGATGGATTCCGAATCGATGGATTCCGAATCGACGGATTCCTGGGAAATAGAAACCCATTTGTTGAAATGACCGCAAGTAATACCAAGATTTATTTCCTTCTACCAATTCCTGACTCCCCTTAACTATCAAGAATCAGTCGATCGTCTTTCATATCTCACGATTAATCGGTGGAAAGCACGACAACCAATGATTGCCCGAGTGATTATTCATCTCCCGACCCCAGAGATACAGGTATTTAATTAATTCCCCAGGTATAAAGGACCATTAATTATCGCTAAGAATATAAGTAGATTACTCCCCCATCCGTGCCGAATAAGTACAAACAAGTTATTCCAACGGTTATTATTGTACATCGTTATCATTTCCCTCCCTCATCCCCCAGGATGCAATTTTTTGCATCGAAATAATCGCCGACTCCTCGAGAACCATCTGGAGCTAGCCAATTGGCAGCTTTAATGAAATTCTCTCTTTAATTATGCTAAAGAGATCCATTACGAATTCATATTCATCCCGAGACCATTCCCTCAGGATATTTTTTCAAGAGAGAACGATTTGAAAGGACTTGGGTCACTCCTATGAGCTCTTGTACCACCAATTTATCAATTCTTGACACTTTCCACTTTTTTACAAGAAACACGACGAAAAAACCCGGATGTCCAATACATTTATCACTTCCATTCGAAGCGGACACATATTGGAGGTAAACATTGAAAAATGTTGGGATTATAATTCATAGGAGAATAAAGCCCGGAGTGTCGCACGTTAAATCCCAGCCTCAGGGGCTTCTGAATTTTTTTGAATAGGGTACACTCGATGTACTCCAGTCTATGGATTTTTAGTTTTTATTTAAAATTATTTGGCTTTGTTTTTACGGTGCAGTGGACACTTGTGCTGCTCAGCGCTTTTGTAGTGACCGGTCTATTTTTCAAGCACAACACCAACACCTTTTACTCACAGGAACTGTCGATCGATATATGTCATCTACTGTGTTCCAGCTCGGATTCAGTCCCATCAGTGCTCTGGTCTACACTCTGGATTTTTTTCTCCTCTGTCTCAATGTGAGTACTCCCTTTGTTTTAACTTCTGTTCTCTTAAAAGCTTCTTATACTCAAATTTTAACCATCGAAGTGTCTGAATTTATTTGCCTCTGCGTCGCAGCTCTTTTATCATTTTCTTTCTGTCACGACATTTTTTTCTACAGATTTATTCCCTTTTGTGCGTTATCTCGCAGTACCAAGAGTACACAGCTGGTAGGGGTAGAGCGTCAGACGACTGTGAACACAGGGTGAGTGTCTTCTGAAAAAAAAGATACATATGTATAAATATATGTGTATATATGTGTAAATAAAAATGTCCATGGGTGAGGTTTTTCATCTCCCTGTTGCCTGGGTTATCCCCGAAGCCTCCGAAAATCGTTTGCCAACGTATCCCCAGTATCCGTTATTTCCAGGCGTTGGAGCCTCTTGAATCTGCCACTGACCCGTTAAATCTCTTGTGTCCTGAGTGCCTGTAGAAGACACACGTGTTCCCAAATTTTTTTCTCCACTTTGTCCTCTCAATTGTCCCTCTTTATTCCTCAACCTCAGACCCTCATCCTCGCGCGGGTAGAATAATGGTGATAAAAAAATGACAGTGAAAAAAGAATAGAGTGAATGAAATAGTCTTTTATCTGGGTCTCGAGCTTTCGCATACCGTAATTGCGCGCAAAGTGAGATCAAGTGAGAGCGAATTGAAACACTCGGGAATAATTGAGGTAGCTCAGACAGACCCTTGGGTCTTATCATAAAGCCGATTGGTTTCTAATCCCAGATAAATTCCGTCTTCCCTCATATCTTTTTTATCCACCATTTTCTCGGTAGGTATGAAGTGATTGATAAAATGGAATACGCGTCAATCAAACACATCATCGTGAAATTAACTGATGGGAAATTGAAAAAGCAAATGTCACAGTCGATTGACGAATGCATGCCAAATTGATGGTTTTAAAAATATCCGATGCCCATGGAATGGAGTCAATTGATCTGATTGCGAGGATAAACCCACTTGTATATTTTTTAACGTCAATAATCGTAAGGGCGTACTTGAGTACTTGGTCTGACCTCAGCGGCATCTTATCCCTTTACTCGAGTAAACCTCTCTGTAACATGAGGACGTGTATAAGATACTTCAAGTACTCCATATATTGTCCGTCGAGGACGAGTCGACTGTGAGAAGATATTGTCGTCTCAAGGGTCTGTGTTTAGTAGATTTCCGGATTAAATCGCGAATACCATTTTTACGAACTTTCCACACAATTTTATGAGAAGCTGGCGGTAATTTCAATTTAAAAATACGAGAAATAAAACGATTATTTATAAAATTAACTAAATTATGGGTTTTTGTATGAAAAAAAAAATAATTGGAATGGCAATTTCAGGAGTGAAATGATTAAATGATGATTATTAATTATTATGATTTATTATTAATGTTATTTAGTGTTTTTATCGTCAGAGTGGTCATTATTTAGGGAGAAAAATGAAAAAAAACTTTCGGTAGATGTTCATTAATTCCAACAATTTAAAAATAATTTCATTATCCATCTCAATTACCCCGATAACCCTCACAGCAATTACCTAATTGCCAATACCTAATTGACGTAATATTTGATGATTGGACGATGTTCGATCAGATACCGGCTATTCGATACGCAGCTCAACCCACAACAACAGCCACATCGTGTCTGAGTTCTCGGCGTACAGCAACAAACAATGACTCCAAACCCACAACATCAACAACACCAGCGCAAAGTCCCACGACATACAGAACAATTCTAAGCTCCGAGAAAAGCGCAGGTACCAAAGCAACCCGGAAACACGTACAGTTTCCTGATACTCCACCATCGAGCAGTCAAGCACCCAAGTCCGGTGGTATTTTATTCTCTACCCAACAGTCTTTACCGGAACAGAACAAACAGAGAATATGAATTGTTTTTTTTCTCCATGACAGATAACAGTGGAGAAACTATCAGCTGGCCACTGGAGAATGAGACGACAGCACCTTCTCTACTCGTACCACCCACCAACAATTTTCATCCCAATGGGCCATCCTAAAGGACTTATACGATATCTAGATTTATTTTTCATTTTCAGAGATACAGGAATAAGAATAGAGAAAAGTACAAACGCTAATATTCACTTGTTGTGATTGATATAGTAGTGGGATGTCGATCATGGAGTCTGGAGGTAAAGATTCCACGGGATTTCGTTGGTAAGTACTTAAGTCTGATTTTATTGTATTTGTTTGGATGATTTGGGTGGCTGCACTCATGCAGACAGGGAACGAGTTGATTAGGAGATTAGAAATTCTGATGTAAGATTTCATCAGTCTAGCATCGAAACGCATTTACGTTGTAAAATTTCCTCGCTGCGATAGACGTGTCGTCTTTCTGGTTTTATTTACTTACGCGATATCATGGAGTAGTAAAAACGTTTGACTCATGATTTTTGGGTATCAGGATAAATGAGGAAATGAAAAATGTCTCGTAATTGATGATGAAACTGCAATCATCGGACAAATAGTCCTGATTTTATGTTCCAGGAAAATTGAAACTCGGTTAACCGCTGGTACATTGGCCAGACATTATGGGAGCGGATAGATTCGTTGGACCATTCATTTCGTTTTTCCCCATGAGGGAAATTCAATTTCATTGCGGATCGATACATTCATATCCACGAAGTGAAAAATCGAATCATTTTTCCCTCCGTGTGTCCTCTGCATGCATGATGTGACTGAGAAAAAATGCCAAACACGCGATTCTTCTGCGGTTTTATGTCTCCTGGGAAATTTATTTGATGTACCACTGTCAAGAACGGAGATACTCGAGTGTTCACCCATTTATGACGTCAACTACTATGAACAGCTGGCGAATAATTACGAGAACTGATCTGTGCAGTTACATAATTTCTGGTGCGTCAATGAGAGACTGGAGAGTCGCTGCATCCATAATTGATGATCACAATCAGTTTGAAAATTAGTGTGCGTCGGATAATGGAACAGTTAAATTACAACTCCTAATGATCCATTTTATTCCGCAGCGGTAATTAGACATTACCTCGTGAATTCCAATGATTTCCGTTGAAAAATTTGTCATACCCTAATTATGTATCGTTGAAAATTATTGTTATAAGGATAATATATAAATTTATGGATACAGTTATTCAATTTTTTAATAAAATTCATGATTTCGTTAGATGTACAGTATTTTATATGTATTACTTTTATCAGAATAAATAAATACGTTGAGTTTCACTCTGAATAGTTCACCTGGTTTTTAATTCCTTGAAGTTAATACCCAAGTGAACCAATACTGTTAGTTACGTATGTAAAGCTTTTATTGACAAGGAGATTAATCGCTCGCGGAACACCAGACCAATACCCAATATGAATTATCGATTCTCCAACAATACAATAGAACATGTGGTAGAATTTTCCCACGACTATTCCGGATGATCCATCAATAATCGTAATTATGTTTGTGGAAGTAACTGAGGATGGACGTGCCTGATACGGAGTTAATTAAACAATAGTTCAAATTTTTGTTTCTCTAGGGATTTCTGGGGAAATTCATTCTTATGGGAATCCCTCGTTTCCCTCAACCGAATTTTTCCCGAAAAATACCGAGATATTTTTTTGTCGCGGGAAAGTGACTTTTTCTTTGGAGTCGAATTTTTCCATCAATCAAGGATTAATTTTATAAATATTCACTGCGTAGAAAATAATGGAATTTTCAGAAACGGGAAAATTCGTAGATAAATATTATTTTAGCGACGAGTATGTATTTCCTTCTATTTCCATGTACATGCCCCAGTAATCAGTGCTTTGAGGAGAATCCCGGTATATAAATTCTTCACCCGCCCTTCTGAACACAATATCCCGAGAGAATATTGCACCATTAATTCTCTGTGTGAAATGTAGCGCACATACCACCTGTTGTTCTCAAGTAATAGAGGAAGATATTTACGATCGCAGGAAGTTATCAATGATTGAAGAATTCTGCAATCGTAATGAAGAATCATTACATTCTACAATTATTCTCGAAGACTCTGAATGGAGTAACAAAGACATCATTCACCTTTTCCATCCCAGATTTTCATGAGCAATTAACAATTAGGAGAAATTTTCAAAAAATTTCACCGTACAGTATTCATGTCTTCATGTGAGAGCGCAATCGCCTTAAGAAAAATGATGTAATGAAAAATGATTAGTTCTTAAATATAAATGCAGGATCCAATTGTCATTTGAAGTTTAATATCAATAAATTCATCGTCTACATTATTTAAAAAAATTATTTAATCATGATGAACGAGTGGAGTTTCGGTAACAGTCTAGTTAAATTCTGTTTTCAGTTTCACAGGAAAGACCGCACGAAACCAATAGTTCGATGAGTTACGAGAGTAACTATTGATATTACGTAATACGTAGAAGCTGACCGGTTGTGAGACCACATCGGAGCTTAATACCTAAATCACACACAAATCATCGATCGCGAAGAAAATTCACGCGCACACACTGTCCCAATCAGTAAAATTCCACAAATAAAAATATCACCATCAACTAAATTTACGCCGGCACTTTATCGATGTCACACTTTTTATGATGCAACTCGGCCTGAATTTCCTGTAGAGTTTTGCCTTTGGTTTCCGGTACAGATAAATAGATATAAGTAGTACCAATAGCATTGAACAAAGTAAACATCCAAAAAGCTACATGGGTACCAACAGAGTCGCTGATAACTTGATAAGTCTTTCCAACAGTAAATCCAGTCAAGTTAGAAATAAAAGTAACAAGAACACAGGCAAGTGATTTGATATTCGTCGGGAATAGTTCACCCATTACAGTAACCGGCAATGGAGCAAGACCGAGAGAGTAAAATACCACATAGAACATGCATCCAGTGGCAGGTAACCAGGTAATAGCACTGGTATCAATACTGGAGTACTGCAGAGTGAAATAAATAGCGACGATACCTGTTGATACTAGGGATCCGATCACCGAGAACAGCAGTAAAAAACGCCGACCATTACGATCAACAATTACAGCGCAAATTCCAGTGCAAACAATCTGTACGAGTCCCAAGATCATTGCCATGTATTTACCCTCGAGATCAACGTTCGCTTGGTCAAATATTGTCTGTGTGTACATCATAATTGCCTGGCTACCGGACAATTGTTGAATTAATCCCAGCATAACGCCCACTGTCATTGACTTTCGATTGCCAGGTACCAGGAATATCTCTCCCAGGCCACCGCTATTCGCCATTTCAGCCTTAACTGATGTTTCAATGGTGTGCAATTCAGCGGTTATGTCCTTGGTACCACGGAGAATAGCCAGTGATTTTGAGGCATCTTCACGACGCCCACGACGCATAAAATGATAGGGCGATTCTGGCAGCCACATGAAACAGCAGACGTATGGAATTGGAAGAATTAGGGATATCAGGGCACTCGTTTGTAATGACACGAATGGACATAACACGTAAGAAAATAGAATTCCAAATCTACACGCCATCATTATCGCCGTCAGCAAGATTCCTCGGATTTTTGCGGGGGCTATTTCACCCAGGTACATTGGCAGAACTGCAAAACATGTCCCGGTACCTGTCCCGGAGATGAGTCTCGCGAGCATAAGTTCCTGGAGGGAAAAAAAACACCTCGCTATTATTATTTGATTATAATTCATAGTTATCCACATAATTTCTAGAGGATATAAGAATTCCCTTCGTTTGAAGCTGCGGTCTCGTCCCTCCATCGTCAATATTCATTCGTTAATCATTCGTTAATCATTCATTAATCCATATTTGATAGTCTCATTTATCTGAATTTCCACAGCCCATGGAATCCATTCGTTGATAATTAATAAATACCATTTGGAATGAACGAATCATTTCATGTGTGTGGATTTAGTGAACCGAGAATATACTGAATCCATCAAATTGCAATTGTAATTATTGAATATCCGATCTGACATTATGATAAAAGCCAGAGGACAATAACATCAATTATCTACACCAATTACATTCGTCGTCGTAATGACTTTTAAGAAATCATTAAAAATAGATTGTCGGTGATATGTCAATTACTTTTGAATGTCTACGAAGAAACGGAATGTCACGGAAGGATACGATAAAAAATCGATAAGAAATCGATAGTCTCGATTAATACATTGGAAAATATTGTGATAAATTTGAAAGATTTTATGAAATATTTACCCATGGTGTGCGAGCAAAAACAATCATGGTCCAGCCAATGAACCAGGGGACACTTGCAGCTATGAGGAGGGTCTTCCTGCCAGCAACATGAGCAATCAGCAGGGTGAGCAGTGGACCCATTGCACAGCCCAGCATGAACGTGGAGGCAATCCAGGCACCTTCATCATTGGTTATTTTCACTGGTGAATCTGGCTCCTTGTACAGAGGTATTGCCGGTGAACTCCATCCGTAGGGAGTGCTACCAGCAAATATTCCGATGTACCCTGGAAGCCGAGTGAAATGCAAATTCATTGATTTATATTATTATTTTTTATTCTTTTTTATTATTATTTTTTATTCTTTTTTATTATTATCTTTTATTCGATTAATTATTTTATTCAATTCAACGTGACTAACCGGCAATAGCTGCTGCGTAAAGCCACATGCTCGACTGGATGATTTCCACTTTACGATACGGTCTTAATATAAATTCACTCCTCAGATACGTTGAGTAGTTGACTCCACTTTATCGGTGTTAGTTGAATCCTGGATGTTGACCCACGTGTCAGATCTGTTTGAATAATCAATCAACTAAACTTCTTAGTTACCCAGCGATTTGTAATCGCAAGACAGTGCAAATAGTATTGCGCCATTTATTTCAAAAATTGCTATTCTCAGTTGATCACACCATCACCATTCTGATAGGGAATGCACGAAATTTTAATTGTATCATTCATTATTCAACGTTTATCGGTGATTAAAACGAGAATATTCGTGATCGCTCAATTTGTCATTTTAATAACTCCACGTTTATCGGTAAATTTCGGAGTGCGCTTATAATTGAGTCAATATCATTAACACTCGATTCAATGAATCGTTGAATTAATACGGATAATTAAATTAATCGCGGGATTTGGGGACTTTTTTTAATGAAGAAATGAGCATTTTCTTACTCGCAGAAGCAATTCCTGTTCGCCCTCCAGGGGTAGATGATAATTCCGCTATCCCGGGATGCGAATCTTCTTGAATTTCCTGGGGAGTTTTCCCCTTGTGGTATGAGAAAGTAGATGTAAATAATTTCTATTATGCGAGCACTCGTAGTATTCTAATCCCGCGCGGGTTCTGGCCACATAACAAATTATTTGATATGCTTTAGCCACCGCGGATGGACGTTGACGAAACAGTGGGAACAACCGAGTGTTTTCGTGTTTGTTGAGAATATTAGCTCAACTATCGTGGCGCCTCGATTTTCAACTTGGAAAAATAAAATACAACGTATTTACTAATCTGAAAGGGGCCAACCCAGTCAGAAACGTCAATATTTATTTTTCTATTTTTCATTCCCATTGGATAGAATTTTCGACACGGATAAGACAGACTCAAAACAATTCTTCATGTGGATTACATGAAATGTTCATTTCATTTCGGTTTCATTTTCTTTATTTCAAGAAACCTGAAACTTCCAATTAATGATAGGAATTAATAACTCCAATTACCAATTAATTTCTGGACCGAACGAATTATTTAAGGAATATTTTTTAATTCTGTTAGAGGAATATCTGTTTCAAGAATTCTGTTTGTTGACATTTGTCATTGGTACTCATGTCATTCGCGTCAAGATAGGAATCATCGAAGGGACCAATCATTTCTTTAAATGGTTGATAATCTAGTCTAGAAGGACCGCCAGTCAGAAATGTCAATATTTATTTTTCAGACTTTCATTCCTATTGGATGGAATTTTTGAGACGAATAAGACAGAATCAAAACAATTCTCGATGTGAATTACATCAAATGTTCATTTTATTTCGACTTCATTTTCTTTATTTCAAGAAACCTAAAACTCCCAATTAATAATAATAATTAAATAAATATAACTCCAATTCCTAATTAATTTATGGACGAAAGGAATTATTTAAGGAATATTTTTTAATTCTGTTAGAGGAATATCTCTTTCAAGAATTCTGTTTGTTGACATTTGTCATTGGTACTCATGTCATTCGCGTCAAAATAAGGACTCATCGAAGGGACCAATCATTTCTTCAAATCGTTAAGAATCTAGTCTAAAAGGGCCGCCCAGTCAGAAATGTCAATATTTATTTTTCAGACTTTCATTCCTATTGGATGGAATTTTCGCCACGGATAAGACAGAACCAAAATAATTCTCGATGTGAATTACATGAAATGTTCATTTTATTTCAACTTCATTTTCTTTATTCCAAGAAACCTGAAACTCCCAATTAATAATAATAATTAAATAAATATAACTCCAATTCCTAATTAATTTATGGACGAAAGGAATTATTTGAGGAATATTTTTGAAATCAGGTAGAGGAATCTGTTTCGCTAATGGTGTCTGTTGACGTTTGTCATTGGTCATCATGTCATTCGCCTCAAAATAAATAGACCCATTGATGGGACCAATCATTCCTTCAAACGGTCAAGAATCCAGTCCGTGTAATACAAAATTCTGGTGTACACTGAAGGATATCCTGGCACGTTACAGTCGCTAGTTCCAAAACTAACAATTCCATACTGCACGAATTTCACAGAAGTTTTATTATAAATTGCAGGAGCTTGAAGAGGTCCTCCACTGTCACCCAGGCACGAAAATTGACTACCTTGAGCGCACATTTGCTTGTACCAGATCTCCTTGGTTTTTTTATACGCTCGTTGGCATTCCTCATTAGAAATAGCAGTGAGCCTTCCATGAAGAAGATCCGGACTTCCGGTTCCGAACTCCGTCTTTCCCCATCCAGTCACGATGAATTTCGCTGGATTATTCGCAGCGGCATCACCAATGGGCAGACAAATTGGTCTTGAATTTCTCGGATTGAAATCTATCGGTGAATCCACTCTTATCAGTCCTATGTCATTCTGGAGAATTGATTTCTTATATTCTGAGTGATAGTGAATTTCCTCAATTCCAAAGTCTTGATAACTCTCTGCACAAATTGTTGTTCCATCTAGGGATTCACTGCAGTCTTTTTCTGTTCGCTGATCGTGCTCTCCAACGCGGACTCCTACCAGAGTGAGACCTGTTGTAAAAATAATTGTTAATTAATGAAAATTTAATTTGAAGGATTTTATTATTGTCTGATGAACCCTCACTTGGGTGAAGCTGAGCGACACAGTGGGCAGCTGTCAGGATATATCGATTATTAATAACAGATCCGCCACATTTAAATTCTATATAATTATTATAAACTTTGTAAGCGATGAGAGCCATCCAGGGGTAATCGAAGAGTCCAGTCTTTTTACCGCCTATTATTTTTTCCTCAATCAGTGGACCGCAGATTTGCTGGTCCAGGAGTCGAAGATTTCGATGAGTCGTGACATCTGGTCGCGGGTCATGTCCATCGTCAGATCCATCAAAACGAGACGATAAAATTGGATCAGGATTTATAGCTGGGGTAACACTTGGCGTCGATTGAGTCGAAGAAGTCTCTGGTCTCTAGAGAAGAGACAATTTCGTCCAAATTTCTACTTTCTCGTTGTCATAAATTGTTCAGTTAATTAATCATTAGTTTATGATCAGTTTATTTTGAGTGTGACGTACCAAGCCAGGACAACAGATTTTAAATTCTCGGGCCTGAGACCCATCGAATCCACAACGAGATCTCCTCAGCATGTCCACATCTTCCCTCGTCGGATGTCCAGGTAACTTCAAAGCTCGTCCAATAACATCACATTCCTTGATATCAATGCACATCCCAGCGTTCCCATCCGGAGTCTCACAAGAATCTCCTAAATAATGAAAAAATATATGAGGATTTGTCTCTCAATTTCGTGATTACTTCAATAATTTTTTATAACAACCGATAAAAAATATTTCTGCAGGTTTATAATTGAATAATAATTCAGATGAATTAAGTGGCGGTCATCACCTGCAGTTGCAATCGTTGAATTTATTATTAAAAATGCAAACACAAGGAAAATCATTTTTAATAAAACCAATTTCCACCGCAGGAGACAGCGCAATTGAATCCAGATGAATTATTCACGGGTGTATTCACCACACAATCCCGTAATGGACTGCAATCATTCGATTTATCCGTCGACTTTTATCATTTCGTGGCAGTGCGTTAATATCGTGTGGATTAAAAAATCCATAAATTCACTTTTCACGGTCTGAGGCGTACTGACATCGCAGAAGTTGTGGCTCATAGATTTTCCTTGCAATGCGGCCTTGATGTTTCTGCACTTTCACTGTGGAAATATATTTTTATATCGAGGATAGCCAGAAGTTTTCCTGGTGGCAGATGACTGCTTAAAGGAAGTCGAAAATTAATTTATGGAAGTGGGATTTCCTCCAAGAAATGCAAATCGTTGAGTCAACCGCGAATGAATAATTTATTCAATCACAAAACATTCAGTTATCGATAACAAACGATTAATTCTTATATTAAAATTATAACCGAAAAATAATAGTCTCCGTAATCACCGCATGAATTAATATAATTAATGATGATCAATGAATTTATTCCCCGAAAATATTCATTCCTTCAAATGATCAAGAATCCAGTCAACGTAATAATTAACTTTTGTGTAAACCCCAGGATATCCCTTAACTCCACAGATTCTGGGTCCCCAGCTGACGATTCCATACTGCACATACTTTATATCAGTTTTATTAAATATCGCTGGTATTTGCAAAGGACCTCCACTATCTCCATTACACGAATCCTTGTGTTCACTGCCTCCAGCGCACAATTGTTTGTTACTGATTTTTCGGGCTGGACTATACGCCTTCGCGCATTCCTCATTCGTTATCAGTGGAACCCTCACCTGGAGGAGTTCCTGGGACCTGTAACCACTCTCTGTGACACCCCATCCAGTCACGATCCCCGTCTGCTGATTGTGTCTAGCCCCATCCCCGATGGGCAGACAAATCGGTCGCACGTTGGCTGGACGAAGATCTATTGGAGAATCAACTCTGATCAGTCCGATATCGTCCTCTGATATCAACCCCTTGTATCCCGAGTGAAAATGCATCTCCTCGATCATGAAGTCTTGATAACGCTCTCCACATTCCGGCTCTACACCTTCCGGAGCTTTATTGCAATCCCTCTCGGTTCGCAAATCATGTTCTCCAACGCGTACACTCACGGGAACAATACCTGAAGAGGAAATTAAATATTCAGAATTTACAGTTGCTGGAGATTTGGTACCGCGTCTTAATAACGAGTGTAGCCAGTATTATGATAATGGAATTGATTTTTTTGTCCCATATTTTCATCAATTTTTGGGAGTACGCACCTGGAGGAAGTGCTGTGAGACAGTGTGCGGCTGTCAGTATGTAACGATTATTAATTACAGATCCTCCACATTTCCATTTCGCTCTCGAATCGTTATACGCGATTAGAGTCATCCAAGGGTAATCCAACACCCCAGTTCTATTTCCTCCTACGATTTTCCGTTCTGCCACTGGTCCACAGATATTCTGATTCACAAGTCTCACATTGGGATGAGTTATTCCTGAAGAAGTCTCTGGAGTTTGGGGGATTGGAGGTGTCGTGGACGGAGTATTCACCTTCACCTATTGACAAATATGCATCCAGATAAATAATTATTAATACAATATTTATCTCCGGTATTAAAAATACTTGTCACAGGATTGATATCCATGGAACTCACTTGCGGACAACAGACTTTTGGGTCAAGACGTTCAAATCCACAATTATATCTTCTCAACATATCGAAATCTTCACTCGTGGGGTGGCCAGATTGTCTGAGAATATTCACCAGGACTTCGCATTTTTTAATATTAATGCAAAATCCCCGTTTTCCATCGGGAGTCGCACATTCAGATCCATCAAGCTCTAAAATTCCCAGAGTAATAAAAACGTACAGAAACAATTTCCACTTTTTTAAAACTCAGTATCACTTCAATGATACTCACGTGCGATTATTTGAGCTGAATTGCTCATGACAAGACCCACGATAACAAAAAAAATCATTTTTCATCGGTTATTTTTTAATGATACATGAACCACTTGATGGATTCTTCTACACTCCACTGTGATGATCGGTTAAAACCATATCTGAGGTCTCAGTACTATCGGTATAATGACCCTCCAATGAACTATCATCTTTCTGCACGTTATTTATACGTCTGTCTTTATCCTTGACTGTGCAGCCAGTGATCGCTGACTTGAATGGAAAATCCGTAAAACTCATTCCATCGTCTCGATACGCACTGAGTCAGAGAACATGATTGTCGTATATTGCGGACGGCCTTCGACTTGCCCCACTGTCATATTGTTTTTTTCTTAATTATTATTATAGGAATATTGAATTGTTGAGTAATAAATTTCTCGGAATACTATCGTACAGCGGATGGAGCTGAAACTCGTTTTCAAAACTCAAGTGCATTTTTTCCTCAGAACAACAATTATTATTTCTAACTATCAAATTGAAATTGAATTATTTAAATTATAATAAATAATTAATAATTCAATTGCATGCGGAAATTAACAGAATGAAGATGAATAATATTGATCAATAAAAAATCACGTGTGAATGTTGATTTTTTGAAAAAATGTGGACAGATTCAAAAGAATTTTGAGAAAATCAGCTATTGATTCTTTTGGAAGGAGTTATGAATTTTATTCTGACATGTTCTCACTCTAGTTTAGTTTCCATTCACCGAAAATTAATGCGCAAGTCTGAATAAAGTGGACGATGCAGCTGAAACATTACACATCCTGGAGCTGGTTCAACCAATTATCCGGATTTTGTGCTCCCGAATACGAGATTACGAGGGAGAATGGTCTGGAAGGTATTGCAATGTTCACTTGTTGTTTCAGACCGGAACCCAACGAATGTGTCCAAACAATGAACAACAAAATAGATTCTGATCGGGAGTCAATCAAAATCCCTTTTGTCCCAGTATTCGTCGCCCTAAACTGAAACAAAAAATCCCAGAATAGCGAGTAAACTTGTCCTGGTGAACGCACGAGGAAGAAATCAGGACGATGAAACCTGTATCAAGCCAGTAATTCAATTGCCCTCAAAATCCCACGAGAGCTTGTCGTAATTGCTTTCCAACTCTATAATTACTCCATGAAGAACAAACACCCTATATTTTATTTACAATCTAAAATGATTGTTGCATTAGCTAAATCTAGTGCGAAGTTGACTTCATAGAACAATAACGAAATATTCCTTCTGCTTCAAAATTAATTTCTCTGACCAACCCTTCAAAATGAGATTGACACAATTTTTCCGTTTCACATGATCTTTATTTTCATAAATACAAATTTGTTTTTAATTGAGCTTATGATTTTAATGAGTTGCAAAATGAATTTATATTAAAATAAAACAGAGATGAATGTCATGACAATAATTGAAATTGATGATTAAATGGTAGCAGGGGTATTTCAATTCTAGAATCAGTTGTTTTCCTTCTCCGCTTTTCTTTTCCGTCCCCACATCTGTAAATTCTTTCCACAACTCCCTCGTCGCTGGGACTGCAGAAGTCCCCCATAATCTCACCGTCAACATTCACAATCGTCACGCGGTGATAGTCCAAACACACATTACCTTCACCTTGACAGAGACCTTATCAAAGATAACACGAACCTACACTGATGTAATCCCTTGATAATATCTCTGCAACATCGAGTATTATCCGGTATTTCGTAATACACCTCAAGCCCTCGATTTATGAATCTCAATCTTCTTCCGATGCAACTCATCCTGAATCTCCTGTAGAGTTTTTCCTTTAGTCTCTGGTACACAGAAATAAATATAGATACTGCCGATGGTATCGAAACCGGTGAATATCCAGAAGCTTACGTGTGTCCCCACAGAGTCACTGATTATTTGATAGACTTTGCTGACAGCGAATCCCGTGGAATATGTAAAAAAACCAACAATTACACAAGCAAGTAGTTTAATGTTCGTTGGAAATAGTTCACCGATCATTGTTATAGGCAGCCCAGCGAGACCTAGTGAATAGAATATCACGTAGAACATACATCCGACAGCAGGCAACCACTCGATATTACTGGTATCGATACTCATGTATTGAAGATTGAAGTAAATAGCAGCAGCACCTGTAGAGAAGAGGGATCCAATGGACGAGAATAATAATAAGGGACGACGTCCATGACGATCAACCACCACGACACAGAGCCCAGTGCAAATGATCTGTATAACACCCAGAATCATAGCCAGATATTTGCCCTCGAGATCAACATTTGCCTGGTCGAATATCGATTGCGTGTACATCATAATCGCTTGGCTACCAGACAATTGCTGGAGCATTCCCAGGATCACACCGACAGTTATTGACTTCCGATTGCCAGGAACAAAGAACATCTCCCGTAATCCACCGCTGTTAGCCATTTCCCCTTTGACTGATGCCTCTATTGAGCACAATTCTGCCTGAATGTCTTTGGTACAGCGAAATGATGCCAGCGATTTAGCTGCCTCTGCACAAAGCCCCTGACGCACCAGGTGGTACGGGGATTCCGGGAGCCAGATGAAACAGCAGACGTAGATTATCGGAAATATCAACGAAATCATCGCACTCATTTTAATAGTCACGAATGGACAAACTGCATATCCGAATAATATACCAAATCTCGAAGTCATTGTTATTGCGGTGAGTAGAATTCCTCGAATATTAGCTGGTGCTATTTCACCGAGGTACATCGGTAGAACTGAGAATATCACACCTGTTCCTGTACCCGAGATGAATCTCGATATTATGAGCTCCTTGAATAGAAAATTCATGCATTCCAAAATATTCCGTATTGAAGTGGAAAACCTGGAGCAGTAATTGGTGGAGACTTACCCATGGGGATTCAGCGAAGATTATTATTATCCAGCCGATGATCCAGGGAGCACCGACAGCTGTGAGAAGTGTTTTTCGTCCAGCGATATTTGCCACGAGAAGAGACATGATGGGACCTATTCCACAGCCCAGCATGAAGGCCGATGCAATCCAAGCCCCTTCATCATCGGTGATGGGTACTGGAGAATCTTCCAAGTGGTACATGGGAATCACTGGTGATGTCCATCCTGATGGCACACTGCTAGCGAATGCACCGATGTAGCCTGCAAGAATAAGCAATTGTAGGGAAAATCTCATGGTATAATTACAGATGATGAAAACAACCAGCAGCTGCTGCTGCATAGAGCCACATCGTCGACTACATCTAATACTCATTTTACTGCTCTTATATTAAAACCTGCTCCCGAGGAAACTCAACAGTTGGCTTAATTTATCGGTGTCACTGCATTATTTACTGCCTAATCTGTATTGAGACCCACATTACCAAGTATATGCATAATACCAATAAAATCATATTTTCAGGGTGAGTGATAATAGAGAGACTGCGCGTATGTTGTTACCTCGCGGTAAAAAATAATCCCACCCAGACAATGTCAGGAGATGATTGATTGAATGGATGACAAGCTATTCTTGGAATGTCCTGGGAAATGTCAAATTCAGAGACGAGAAGTAATTATTTAGTCATTACATAAGGTTTGACTGATAGCAGGTGATAGGGAATCTCTTTGAGAATTATGAGCACCAAGCCACTAGTTGATCTTCATTTTAATTCAAGAATCGAATTCAAGATCAAAGTGTCGAGTCCAGAGACTTGAACGAATGAATTGAGTCTTGGAATTTTGCTGCATCGATTGATTAAAATTATCGATTTTCGGACGATATTAGTTCATGGTCTCATTATTATTAATATAGGGAAATATCGGCACGAGTTCAATTAGCATGGGGATTAAATCCATTAATAGGCAAATGAGAGTATTTTACGTTGACAGTATTGATCCCCTTGGAACTACTCTAGGACACGATATGATGTTCGATAATTGTTGTATAATGTCCCCTGCGATCATGTACTTGTGGTTCTCATGTCCTTTGTCACCGGAAGCCATTGGAATCCACTTAGAGGTAACCGGACTCCCCTTATTCTGATCTGTTTGATCATCAGGTCAATCAATCCGTTAAGAAGCTTCGACTACTGAAAAAATATCAATTTACCTCCTCTAATTCAATTTACAGTAATATCATACGATAAGAAGTAACAAAACACTAATTACTCATCATGAAATCTGTGGACACCATTTTTTCAAATGAAATTTACGAAACAAATTATTCCGATTGATATGTATTTATTGCTATGAATTATTTGGCAATTTATTCTGAAATTTTTTAAATCACATTCATCGGGAATTTTAATCGATTTGCGTTAATTGCTTGCATGTAATTACTTTTTAAATTGCATTCAATCGGTTTTAGGTCAATTGAAAAAAATCATATTTGTGCATGACATGTTTAATATTTTCTGAATTCGTACGCAATTTAACATAAATAGATAAATGTGGGACGTGATTTTCATCATCAATACGATTCACTCGCCCACGCTTTTCGCGGAATTACGATAACCCGAGAGGGAATTAGAGAAAACTCTGGGGATTATGAAAATTTGGTTGTCAACCAGCACAAACTTAATGGGTAACTAGTTCAATAATTTTTAACGGATAATTACTAACGATATTTACTGTTCTATTCAACGAATTCTCCTCATTAATTCATTCCCTCATTAGAGGACTTTTCATTAGTATTACTCCACTAGAAAAAATAAAGTACAGCATACAATTGATTATTACGAAGGTACTTCCATTATTAAATGAATATTAATGAATTTCACTTGCATTACGTGAGATCAACTCATTCATAAATTCCAATCAATACTAGGGGCGTCAGGATTATGTATAAAATTATGTGTCTATACTTTCAATTTGTTTTTTAATGTTATAATTAAATTTTCCGCTTTCTGCTGCACAGGATTAGTCATTGATGAAAAGGATGGGAAAGTTTCTTGAGGGATGAGTACTGACATTGAGAAATTACAGAGTACCGGGAGTATTCATACGGGATTTCATATCCATTCACTTGCCTCTCATTACCTCTCATTAGCGAAATTATAAATCACTAGTGAAATGTGAGATGATGATTGATTTAATCATAAAACTCTATTTGCAAATAGAACTCAATGATAGTTTTATCTTTTTCTGTGTAAGCAATCGGAAACGCACTCGATCGTTTCATCATTTGTTTTTAATTAAGGGACAATTAAAAAATGGCATAAACTATTTAAATCGTAAACAATATTACTTTAAAAATAATCATCAATGGCGTGTAAGACGGAGAGATAAATCGCTCATACGAGTACGGGAAGCTGAGATATCAGAAAAATCTCCATTAATTACCAAGGGAGAAGGAAAAACCCCTTTTAGGGGGTGGGAATTCTCTTGCCCCAAAAGCCCTAAAATAACGATTTGTCTAGCATAAAAAAAAATATTGTATTTATCACTTGACTTTAATTAAAGAAAAAAACATAAATTATGGGTAATTTTTTTAGATATTCAAAATTCTTTGAAGATTAGGATTTTAGATGTCAAATGACAACATCCCATATGGGCGAGATCAGGCGCGCGAAATGCGCCATTTGCGCTAGTGGAGAACAAAATTTGAAAGATAAACTCTACAAAGACGTCACAACATTCTGTCCCTTCTTATGATGCAACTCCTCTTGAATTTCTTGTAGAGTTTTCCCTTTGGTCTCGGGTATCCAGAAGTAAATAAAAATGCTCCCCCAAAAATTGGCAATCGTAAAAATCCAGAAAGCGACATAAACCCCGATAGACTGACTGACGACCTGATAAGACTTTCCGACAAGGAATCCAACGAAATTGGCAAACGACACATTAATGGCACACCCAAGTGACTTAACATTCGTTGAAAAGAGTTCGCCATTCATTGTCGTTGGCAGTGGTGCATATCCACAGCAAAAAAATACGACATACATCATGCATCCAGTGGCGGGTAGCCATTCGATGGAATCAGTGCTGACATTGAAGTACTGGAGATGAAAGTAAATAGCGACAGCACTAGTCGATATCATGGTGCCAATTGCTGAGAAGAGTAGAGCAGGTCGTCGACCCTGACGATCAACGAACCAAGTGCAGAGTAGAGTTCCAAGTACCTGGATAACTCCCATGATAATCGCCAAGTATTTTCCTTCCAATCCAACATTAGCTTGATCAAATATCGTCTGAGTGTACATCATGATTGCCTGATTACCAGAGCACTGCTGGAACAACCGGAGAACAAGACCGATGTTCATGGATTTGCAGTTTCCAGGGACGCAGAAGAGCTCCCGAAGTCCACCACTGCTGGCCATCTCCACCTTCACGGATTTCTTGATGGTCTGCAGCTCCGTCTGGACATTGGCAGTTCCCCGAAGGGCAGCTAGTGATTCAGCGGCCTCTTCATGACGTCCACAGCGAATCAAATAATAAGGAGACTCTGGCAGCCACATGAAGCAGCAGACGAAGGGAACCGGAAGTACTAGCGATATCAGAGCACTCGTCTGGATCGAGACGAATGGATAAATCGCGTACGCGAAGAGAATCGCTAATCGCTGGGACATGGTTATCATGGTGAGCAAGATTCCACGAATATTTGCTGGTGCTATTTCACCCAGGTACATCGGTAGAACTGAGAAACTCGCACCTGTACCTGTCCCCGAGATGATCCTTGAAACAAATAGTTCCTGAATGGATAATTATGGATCGGCTTCTATTTATTTATTTATTTATTTGGATCAATGGAATTACCCATGGAGAACGAGCGAATATTATCATCGTCCAGCCAATAAACCAGGGAAGACTTGCTGCTATCAGCAGTGTTTTTCTTCCTGTCAGGTGGGATATCACCAGTGACATCAGAGGACCTATCGCGTTACCCAGCATGAAGGCTGAGGCTATCCAGGCACCCTCGTCCTCCGTGATGGTTAATGGTGAATTTTCTTCATCGTACAGAGGTAGAACTGGAGAACTCCAACCGTACGGAGTACTACCAGCAAATATACCGATGTAGCCTGAAATACAAATAGACTGATAAGAAGATAAGGAAAATATTCTCAGGCCATCACTATTCAAAACACTTCTGGATTTATTCCGAAATTTGTTTATCCTATCAGACATTCTGATCGTCATGAATGTTATCGAAGAATTGATGTATCAAAAAGTCGCCAATATAAAAAAAACTTGCGGATGTGACAGAAAAATTCGGAAAATTGTACACTCGTTTAATTGGTCTGCAGGAATTGTTTCTCAGTTGTAAAACACGGGAAACAAATCACAACACTGAATATTATGGCATTACACGACAAAACTAACCGGCAATTGCTGCTGCGTAAAGCCACATCGTTGACAGGAAAGTTTTCTTCTCAATTGACGGTCTTAATATGAATTCATTGAGCAAATACGCTGAGGAGTTAACAGGATTTTATCACAGTTTTATCATGTGCTGTTGAAACTGTACGTGGGATTGGATGAATAGCCAATTAAATTCGGCGTGATCTTGTAGTTGGAGGGATCCATTGTAATGCGGGGGGAGTTAATATTTGATTAAGAAAAAAAAACACTTGCCCAGTGGCCGGAATTCCACTGAAACCATCCAATCAAGACTAGTAAAATATCACATCTCTGATCTAAAATAATTTACGTCATGCACGGGCCATCTTGATGAGGAATTCATCTGCTCCAGTTTCATCATCGACTTTTCATGAATGTCTCCCAGAGTTTTCACCTCCGCATTACCCCAGAAAATAGTACGCAATCTCAAAGTCTCGTGGTAATCATGACGAGAAAGATTTCACAAGTTTCGCGGGGGGTACCGGTTATTTATCCACGTCAATTCAATTAACGCGTGTTCGTACTATGTCATCATAAAAGTAGGACAGAATCGTTGAAGTTCATTCCATCCAGGAAACGATCTGTCATTAAAGTGTTGCGAGGCAACTACGAGGGTAGATCTTTCCCCAGTTTGAGAGAGGAAAATCTGAAAATTAATCAGCAACGTAATGACACGCGCGGTTTGCGCCTCTTTTAGTGTATCGAATTTATTCAGCAATAATGATCCCTGATTTTTTATTTTATTGTTTACTACTGTAATTGTTTGCATTGGAACATGTGTTGGCGCATGTGTGACAGCCGACAGACGCGAATTCTATTTTTATCCAAAAAATTCTCAATTGAAAAACAAGAGACGGAAGTATTTCCAAAATTTTTATTACAAAATCACTCTTAAATCAGTTTTATTTTACAAAATTGTACAAATTTAGGCTAGATCGTAACGATTACTAATTAATTTAATTACATTAATTATTGTTTAATTCTGTCACTCATTGATCAGAAGAGGATTAAAAATCATATCTAAACAATAAATACAGACGTACGGCGTGCGGTATTAATACATTTTTTTTTTGCATCTGTTCTTTTTCGTAGATTAATTGATTTGCAAATCACACGGTGAGTTTCGCAATTTGGGGATTTTAGAGCGCTTGCCCCAGCGATTTCCCAACGAAATTTGACACAATCAGTGGCTTGCAGGAGATGTCGACTGAATATCAAATGCGTTCTGAAACCCGAGGGGTTTTTCGGGGATTATTTTTCCCACTGCAATGTTTCATTATTTTATTCTTTCTAGAAAAAAAATAATAAAGTCCTGTTTCTCCAATCTACAACCGCGTAATCCATTTTACATGACATAATTATAAACAAACAATAACGAATATTTTTCCCGAATTTTATCTACATTGAACACTTGTTTGGCGTCTGAAGGCATTCGTATATTGCGTATCAATTTAAAAATTATCAAGGCCCACAAAAATTCCTAGGCATTCAAAAAATTGAATTATTTCAGACGATGCGATTGTCAGATGTCAATGAAATGATGTTTTTAACAAGAATTTTGTTATCAATGTTTGCGTTCCACTTAAAAATTTAGGAATCAAAAATAGATGCAACTGTTTGCACAGTTGATTCTTGTTTTTAGTATTTTCTAAGAAGCTATTACAATAACCTCGAGAATAATTATTAGAAAAATATTCCCAATTGTCGCAATACGTTCATAAGTCCGTCAATCAAATTACCAGCGATGAACTCTCTCAATTATATTATCACGCGCCCTTCACTGTGTGCAATAGCCACCTCTCGTGCACCTCAAACTCAATTCCATAATGAACGAGAGCAGAATGATAAATAAATCCTCAACCCAGTGGGGAAAAGTTTTTCACATGACCCGTAGAATATTAAACTCTCCCTAACATGCCGCACCCTACTCCGCCGCCGTTCCCTAATCCAGGGTGAGCCCTGATTTTTCTTCGTCCATTTATCCACGCAAATTCAATCCACAGACTCATCATCTGGTTGCTATCGAATCCAGGGTAATTGCCAAAGAGTCTGAAGACCTCCCCCGACAAGCCCCGATACAAATCAATGCCAAATAATTCAACCAGCAGCCCACGTATCATTTTTAATCGAGACAATACTCTGTCTGCGATTCAAATCCTCCTGGATCTCCTGAAGAGTCTTTCCCTTGGTTTCCGGTACGAAGAAATAAATATAAATAATACCAGCGACATTGCACCCAGCGAATATCCAAAATCCAACGTGTGTTCCCACCGAATCACAAATAATCTGATAAACTTTGCCAACCCCAAATCCAACGATGTACGTGCAGAAAACAGCGGTTGCACAACCGATGGATTTAGTATTGGTTGGGAAAAGCTCGCCAGTCATTGCTGTGGGAAGTGGTGCGAGACCGAGAGAATAAAATACAACGTACAATAGACATCCAGCTGCTGGTAGCCACTCGATGTGAGAAGTATCGATAGCCAAGTGCTTGAGATGAAAGTAAGCAGCAATAATAACGGTCGATATGAGGGATCCAATTGTCGAGGACAGAAGCAGTGGACGACGCCCATAATGATCGACCATAAAACCACAGAGACCAGTGAATATCAGCTGTACAACACCCACAATAATCGCCATGTACTTTCCCTCAATCGCAAAATTCGCAGCATCGAATATTTTCTGTGCATACAGCATTATGGCTTGACTCCCAGACAACTGTTGAATCATCCCCAGGATAACACTGACGAATAAAGAAGTACGATTGCTCGGTACCATCAAAAGCTCACCAAATCCACCGCTGTTTGCCATTTCAGCTTTAACCGATGTCTCGATCCTATCCAATTCCTCCTGAATGTCTTTAGTACCTCGTAATCGTATCAGGGATTTGGCAGCGGCATCTCTCTTTCCCTTTCGCATCCAGTGATATGGGGACTCTGGTAAAAATACGAAGGACACCACGAATATCAGAGGCAGAATCATCGACACCTCTGCACCAACGGCTATTGATACGAAGGGATACACTGCGTAGGCGAATAGAATTCCCAATCTTGATGACATTATTATGAATGCCAGGAGCGAGCCTCGACGGTGAGGTGGTGATATTTCCCCCAGATACATCGGCATCACGCAAATTGATGTTCCTGTACCCATTCCACTGATGAATCTCGCAAAATACAGGTACTGAGGAAAAATAATAATTGATTATATCCGTTAATTAATTATCGTAGTGATTTCGATTTACTTGCTCGAATGAATTTTTAAGCTATGATTACTTGGCTTTGATATAATAATTAAATAACAGAATTCTTAGAAAAAATTAATCTCAAGATTTCTTTTACATTGTCTTCCCTTTAGTTCACACGCTATTGTTTTTTTCCCCCTACTGTTCATGAGATAAGTCTCCCCTGGTCCTTAACACCAATACATTTCAGCCAAGTTGATACGAGATTTCTTTTATATTCAAGGATGTAACTAAATCATTCTTATCCCCATTGGATCATTATCATTCCTCCAGGGGCACACAGGGGAGAGCCATGGGATAAGAAAAAACACCGACCGCATCGTTTCACTGGTATTTTTTATACATTAAAAATTGATTTCAATTTATTGTATTTTTTGTATTGTATTGTATTGTATTGTATTGTATTTTTTGTATTGTATTGTAATGTATTGTATTTTTTATACATTAAAAATTGATTTCATAAAATTCCGTAAATACTGAGAGATCGGAGAAATATTCAATCTATTTTTATCTGACTGGATGAGAATTGATTGAATGCTGTGTTATTCAGAGAGAAATACGTTTTGAACATTTGGATTTTTGAAAAATTATTTAATTTTGTATTTTTATTAAATTTTATTCTGTGGAATCGAAATTCGATGGAATAAGTGGACATACTCACATAAACGGATGTTGCAAATGCAATGGCGATGCATCCTATGACATAGGGGAGAACACTGAAAATTAGGAGAGTTTTTCTTCCAACGGAATGAGCAAACAGGAGACAAACTGGTGGACCAACAGCTGCTCCAAGAAGATTGACTGATGCAACCCAAGCACCTTCGCTACCCGATAGATGAAAAGGTGCATCTTCTCTGTCATAAAGTGGTAATACCGGGGAACTCCATCCCATAAAGGTACTGCTCGCAAAAATACCGAGGTAACTAACGATAGCTGACAGGTAGAGAATCATTTTGGACTAAAGAAAAGTAAAGCGTACATTCGGTTTTTATAACTTCCAGAAGCCACGCGGTGCCATCATTCCCTGAAATCTTCAGCAAATATGGATCACGTGTTGTTTATACCTCAACTAGGCACTTGGGAATGCTGTTAAGCAATTTTTGGATAATTTTTATTGGGACAACGACCTGTCCTTGGTATCAAACTAGAGCAAATATATTCTTCGTGGGCTCGAGCATAAGTGCTGGAAGGATTGGTCTATTTACGCATGGGATGACTATCAAATAGAACGGCTGAAACAATTCTCATAAATCATTTTGAGCTTCTTCTTCTGGCCTATGATGTTTCAGGAATTTCATATTGTTTCAGGTGCTACGGTTAATTTATCTTGTGCGCACAAATGCCATGGCGGTAAAATTTTTCAGTCAAGTCTCTACTTGCGGAACTTAAAGTTAAAAAAAAAATGCTTTTGATGTAGCAGTAGAATTAATTTCTGTTTGTCTTTGATAATACCGTCGGAGATTTTGGTATTTAGTGCCGAAATTTCGTATCAGCACGAGAAAAATTCACGGATTTGAGAATTCTCCGGAGAATCCGGATTTTCCCGAGATAATAAATGGGAGAGTCACACTATTTTTATTCTCTAATAATTTCCTTCTATTTTTCCCCGCAATCGGGTCCACTCGATTTTTTTATTCCCCGGCGATACGACTTCAAACCCCATAACGATAAAATTCCCTCTCGTAAATTAACGGTAAGTGACTAGAAGCTGAAGTGATTTTAAACAGTTTGCGCTGAGTGAAATGTGACTCCACTGACAGAAGAGATTATTTGCAATGCAAATAGAGATTATCGCGTACAAATTATATTACCGAAAAAAATTGTAGTGTAGAAGGGAATATTTATCTTTTGCCTTACATTCGTTAGTGATAAAAATTTTTGGCGACACGTGCGTATTTTGGGTGAGACTAATCACTTGATCTCTACTCAAATTTTCTCTCCCAAACGAATTATAATTATCCGGCATCCAGATGCACGGCATTATGAATAGACACGTTGTTTTCAATAATGAACCGTGAATAATGGATTTAACGCGGTGTTGATGATGAAAGAGGCGCACGTAATGAATTATATGAATCAATTTATGAGGTATCTCGACCCTGTCTAGGTATCGTAATTGTAAAAAATTTTTCACAAATGTGATGAGACAGCAGAGAGCAGTCGAGTGCGAATGAAGCACCTGTTGCTTTAATCTGATTCCGACTTCTCGAGTGAATACTTGAAAATCCGAGACGTGGAAATCGGGTAACGATAATCGTGAGAGAACATCCACCGAAGAAGAGAAAAAATTGCCCTTCTGGAAGATTAATCCGCAATAAAAATGGAAAATCAAGACATTCATGTCGACCTCCCCTACTTTTTTGTATTTATAATGATGCATTTTTTATTGATTTAATTAATTGAAGAAGTTGTCGAGAAAATTATGCACGGATACTAGTATTCCTTCAATGGTACCTTTTTTTTATTGAAACTTTTAATTTACACGATGCCTGACTGAGTAAATAATAAAACAGAACAAATGGAACACAGCAGTTTGACATTAATTTGATTGGCGAGGAAATACACCTATTATTGCATGTTCCATATTTATCTCAAAATTCATTCAATTATCTGAATACTGTATCGAAGTGAAACACCGTTAATTAGCAATGCGAGTAAAAATTTATCACAGATTTCCCAACACGTTTAATGATTTTTTTCCGTTGCTTTTTCTAATTTTTCATTTTAATAGACGTTTTTAGACATAGCTATATACACCTATGAAAACACTTTTCATTCTTTCAATTTTAAAGCACACATGTCCTTTTATCCATATATAATTAAAATTACCAATAATAAATTTTTTATCTACTCTCAATATTTATGATTTTTCTGTATTCTCCATCCAGACAAGCATAAACGATGGACATAAAGAGTTCAATGGTGTCTCATAATGTATGATATAATTCAAAAAGTATAATAAATAAATTATGTTTTATTACGAATTTGTTTAATTGGCTTAATGAACTAATGAATTTCTCTACAGGTATAAACCGCGATGAGAGTAAAACGAATAATTACTCATCCCTATTCCTTCAATTCCCCCATATTTTCTAATCAACAGTTACTGATGATGTTCATACGACATGTACGTGCTATTGAAATAACAAACGTTCCCCACAAATACGAAGAACACAGCCAATACGGAGCGATACACCACGGAAGCTCGAGAAATTTTGGCCGGTCAATAAGTCCATGTATTTATATACGCCAATGCCCAATAGATAAATAAACGATAAATATCTTGACACAATGAAGGATTCAACCACAACCACCGCGCACGTACATGAATAAATGAGAAAAAATAGCGATCGATGGGCGATTAAGTGAAAGGAAACAGTAAAATAATTGTTAATTACATTCCATCAACTGAATTTAGTGAGTTAAAATAAGAATTGATTGGTCTGCATGTCGATAGCCCCACGACAACTGCTTGGAGGTGGATTCTCATCATCTGAATTGTCATTTCGTCTGAGAAGAGATATATGGCGTCCACGCTGACACTTTTTCTTCTCCTCCTGCTTTCTCAGCTCCTCGTCGTAAGCATGAATATCCCTCTCCACTAAATCCTGTATGTGTTTACTCAAAGTAGCTAATTCAGGCTTATCGTCCTCGTAAATTCCCTCAGTCTTTGTAACTTTTTCGTAAAAAAGTATATAAGGTGTGTCTGGTGGCTCTAGGCTCTTGAACTCATCCAGGGGTGTTTTGTAGACATAACTGTCATTGAATTTGTACCAATTTTGTTTCGAATCACTTGCGTACGTAAAATAGTGACCATAATCCATACTGTAACCAGAATGAACGACTGCTGCGTACAGCTGATACGTCTCTGTCTCGTTTGATATTGGCGTCGAAACGTTCAGTTGAATTTTCTCGTCGTATCTGACTTTGTGTCTCAATTTCGTGCGCAAACGACTCTCCGTGTCGTAATGGAAGTGCTTCAGGGTGAGTATTAGGTGGGCTGGGGCACGCAAAAGTTTTATGATCCTCTGGGCGTCGCACAGTTTCATACATTTGTCACAGCGGTATTTGTTATCGCCAGTCAAGTTCTCGGGGGCTAAGTAGTAGTTTATAAGGTCTTGAACTGAGACCTCTGTTGTCTCCTGGATCTCCTCGGGGAAGCATAACTGCAGGTCGCGAAATTTATCGGTGTTGTGGGAGCTTGTGTCGCATTGGGCACACTGATACGTAATTTTGGATTCACCACCGAAGACACGATGCACTAAATTCGGAGTCGACGAGTCTTCACCACCCACTGATTGAATTCCACTGTCTGTTGAGTCCGAGTGGGAGTCACTCAGTTGAGGTGTTTGTGCTAAATCGTCACCTGCAGGCACAGCATTAAAATTTATTTCTTTTTAAGTTCAGGAAAATAATTTCTTCTACGGATAATATGGAATTGATAAATAATTTTACCATCAGAAAAATCTGCAAGCGACTGAGTTTTTCTCTCGAGTGGCGTTCCCTCTGTAAGATCTCCCTCTGTAATCCACCTTTTAATCCCACGGTCCTCTGATTCAACATTCATATCCTCCACGTCCTGCTCCTCCGGCGTCGACTTAAGAATCTTCATCTCCAGATCATCAGACTGGGGTGGATGTGACTTCTCCTGCTCGTACATGACGTCGAGAAGATGACTGCAAAAGTGAACCATCAAGTTGAATTAACATAGTAACAGAAACGAGGTAATAATATTTGTTTTTTTTTATTAACCAGAGAAATTCAGAGCTATCCTGCTGCTGTCCCGGAGTAAAATACGACGGCCTGGACGCCTGGAGAACTTCAGTTGGAGACAGTGTCCTTCTCTTAGAGTACAACAAAAGGGCAAACAAGTTCTGCAATTTCCGTAGTATAACGTTGGCATTAGTGTCGGCCGATGGTTTATAACTTATCACTTCGTGGCAAAACTGTCTCGTCATGACAAGTGCTTGAAGTACACTGTTCATGTAACAAGTATTTCCCAAATTCGTAAGACCAACTTTACCCTCATTAATAAAAAGAATATTTTGCACATCATTTCTAGTCTCCTCCTGCCACAGCGATTTACCGAGTATCAGATCGACGACACTCATTCTCGGTTTAACTGGCAAACATTTCTCGAGTGATTCGTAAATCGGATGACAGGGGAACCTCATCATCAGTGCCTTCGTACAATCGACAACGCTCTGTGTAATTTTTTTTGCCGCTTCCGAAGAATCATTGCTCAATATCATTAACACATGCTCAATGTCTTTGATGACTCTGTGAAACAAGGCAGGTGTACTCTGCTTATGGAGTAAACAAAAAAAAAGGGCTAAGCTGTGTGGACGTGCTATTGGTATTTTTAACCGTTGAATTGTCATCGGAAGGCAATCGTCAGCAATCCTGTTGAGTACAGAATACTTTTTCTTATCCTCGAGGGCTTTGATGAATGCTGATATCCAGCGACTGAGACAATCATCCTTCAACCAGTGGGACAACCACGTGCAGAGGGTCTTCAGGGCTCTCTCCAAATTATGGTCATTATGAGTGTTTGATACTATGAACTGAACAGCCGATTGTATTGCCTCCTGATTCTCCATCAGCTGGAGAATAATAACAAGTGCTGCACCAGGTAATGAGTTACGTTCAAGGTCTTCTATTATTTTATAAAGTGTCTTTATACACGTGATTTTCAAATTTTCACTGTTGTCCCTGTCGAAACGATTGCAGATGATCTTGATGTTGTTCTGAATCCTCAAGGAGCTCTCCTTCCATTTTTTAATAGCAGTACTCTCAGGTGGCATTTGAAATTCGGCAAGACATGTGACAATAGCCTCGCAGAATTTCAGATTACCCATGAACGTGGACAAATAAATAGTGTCGTGCTCGGTGAGCACCTCGACGATGTCAGCCAGTAGAGATATATCATTGCCACCTGTGTTTTTCAAGAACAGTGTGTAATTGTTGTCAACGTTAGCCTCAAAAGGATTTATCTTGAGGCGAGTAGAAAAAAACACGAGTAGTTTGGGAATTTGAGTGACATTTGTGATACTCCTGTCCACAATCATTTTTATTATTCCTTTAACATCCCTGAGGTCAATGTCTTTTCGCACTTCCTCGTTGAGTTGTCGTAGATTAACCCATCCTTGACACACCTCAGCAGGCGTACCTGATACAATTTGAAGGAGACACTCGGCAAAATCTGGGATTGGTGGATCACACTCCATTGTTACAATGCTTCTGAATCTCGACAAATTTATTTTCAAAAAAAAAAATAATTCAATTAACGGTTTGTCAAGGATTCTTTGTCTCTTGTTTTCACTACTTTTAACCTCAACTTGAATGACAAGAGAATGTACCGGATTGAATAAACCTGAGACCCCCAATCGCTCTCAATTCACGCGCATCATTCATCAGACCAACACAAACGGAGATTTCTATTGTTACATATATATTTTCACCATTTTCACAAAATAAATGGAAATAACGGGAGAAGATTCCGTCGATGCCATCGGGCGTTTGTGGGACAAAACAAGAATTTAAGGTATCAGCCATCTGCTGGTGGTTTTTTATATTTTTTTATCGGTCCATTGAGTTCACTAATTTTCAAACATGGCTGTATTGTGTCGATTCTCCAGGGCATCCAGACATTTATCCTTGAAAAACACCGGATTGTGGGAGGATAACCTTGTCAGGGCATTTCGCACTGTTGTCCAGGAGCCAAAACCCACGAGGGGAATTTTGAAGACTTGTTTAATCAGTGCTGCTGTTGGTGGTGCAATCGGTGCAGGTTATGCCTTTCAGAAAATTGAACGGGATAGGAAGCATCTCGAGATGGAGGGACACCAGATTGCCACAGAAATTCTCAAATATAAACCTCCTATACCGGCTTCAAGACAAGTACACAATTCATTCACTACCATTTTTTTATTTTTCAAATTTGTCAATGGATGTCATTCTTTGGATTGATCCCCAGGTCTTATCTTCTGTGGACTCCACCGGGCTGAAACTCACTCTTTTCCAGTACCAGACCTGTCCTTTCTGCTGCAAGGTAAATATATAATAAATATCCCTGAAACAAGATGTGAAACACTCCATTTTAATTTCAATTACAAGTGATAATTTAGGTTTTCCGTCTGGCGTAGGTGTTTCTCTTAGAAATGAGTTATGACCATTGAAAAAAGGCAATCATATCTATATTCAATCTTTTTTTTAATTTTGTTTTCAGGTTCGAACCTTTTTGGATTATTATGGGATCTCCTATGATGTTGTCGAAGTAGATCCCGTGCTCCGGAATGAAATAAAATGGTCAAAATACCGAAAAGTCCCGATTTTACTGGCGAAAGTAGACGGGGGATATCGACCTCTTAATGACAGCTCCATGATTGTGTCTCTGCTATCTTCTTACCTCAATGACAGGAGTCACAAGATTGACGAACTCGCGACGTATTTTCCCAGTATTGGTGTCAATGATGATAAGGGGTACAGAGAGGAAATAGTCAATAAATACTTTCTGATGTATCAGGGATCTGTTCCGAAAGACAGAACACTCAACGATATCGTGTGCGTATTCGTAACTTAGATATTCGACCTTCTCAATATATTTTTTTTCCTTCGAATATGTGGTGACGTAATTTTTTAGGGAGGAGAGAAAATGGAGACAATGGGCAGATGAAGTTTTTGTGCACACATTGTCCCCAAATGTGTACAGGACACTGGGAGAGGCCTATCAAACCTTCAATTGGTTCTCAGAGGTATTTAAATACTTCTCCTGCCTCGTTGTGCTATTTAGAAATTTATTAGCAGATCATTATCAATTTATTCATGCAGGTTGGAAGATGGGAGGAATATTTTCCTGCATGGGAGCGAGCCCTGATGATAAATGTTGGAGCTCTCGCCATGTGGATGATTGGGAAACGTCTCAAGAAGAGACACAATCTCAAAACTGACGTTCGAGAGTCTCTGTATGACGAGATAAACACATGGTTGGAAGCCATCAGTGCAAGAGGTGGACAATTCATGGGGGGAAACAATCCAGATCTCTCAGATCTTGCTGTGTATGGCATCCTGAGGAGCATCGAGGGTTGCGACGCTTTCAAGGATGCCCTGCAGAACACAAATTTGAGTATATGGTACTCAGCAATGGCCGAACGAGTGAAGAATCACAGTGGCAGCTCAGTTTTGGGAGGGTGACCGTGACGTATACTGTATTAGGTATAAATAAATTGTTCAACTCAACGGGTGAATTTCATTGGGGGTTAATTGGGTTTAATTAAGATTAATAATGAGTATATAGCACCCTCCTGAAGATATCGCAGAGGATTTATATGAGGAGGTGATTAATGAGTAACTATCGAAAAATCAATTATCATTCTCATAAAATATTTGCGAATGAATATGAAAACGGAAATTTCATTAACGGCGCTAGTTTCATCATTAAAAATTATTGCACTACCAGAAAGATTATTTATTTTTATTTTTATCAGCCAACGGATTTTTATTGGGTGGAGTACAACAGTTTACTCTTCACAGATTCAATAAATCTAACTCTTGGAAATTTTCAAACAACGATTTATTTGGACAAGACTTGGTCTGGAATAAATTATTTTCCCGTCAGTGTCGTAAACTGGTTAAGACGATGTCATAAATTTTCGAGTCGCCTACTTCAACTCAGGAGTTATCTGCTATCAGCTAGTCTCGCATTTCGCCTGCGAACTAATTTGTTTTAATTTTATTGAGATGGTAATGAGATTATTGCTGAAATCCACGTACACGAAAGATAAATCATAAATCATTGTTATGGTTCCACAAGTTGAATTATTTCTCATTTTTATGATTTTTCAATTAATTTCATTCCTGAATTAATAAACATTTATTTTCAAATTCCGTGATTTTACGCGATCACTTTATACGAGCACGAGAAAAATTTATTGATGCTGAAATAATGAGATGTTAAAAGCTGAATTTTATTATCAAACTTCACACGCCAATTGCCGATAATTTAAAGTGAATCCTCGATTTTCCACGTCTATCATTTCATTCGGTGGTGGATTCGTTACGACGTAGAGAATAAAACAGGCGCTTGTCTTAGTCTGAAAGCCATTCCCACAGAATCTATCTGTATCGTAACGAGCTCCCGTCGAATTCGAGGGATTTGGAATTATGACGTAATTATGGGTGCAGTCAAGGCCTTCCTCAGAGAAGTCTTCACCAGCGGCTCCAGTGATCAGTCCAGAATCCCCAGAAACTGTGAATGAAGTTGTATCTGGTTGTGACCACTCTATCGTACAGTACCCCAAGGCTGGACGAACGCAGATTTTGTAATTTAAATTCTGTAATTGTCTTGTGCCAAAAGGCAATGTTGCTGGAACTGGAACGTAAAAATAGACCACACGAGATTGAATAAATTATTCATTTATATTATTTCAATAATTCACCTCGAGAATTGGTTGTAGTCCCGTAATTGAAACTCATTACTGTACCAGAAATACTTTTATAATACTGCAGGCAACTACTGGGGGCTAGAATAACAAAAAAAAATAGAATAAAAATTGACTCCTGTGTACAATCGAATTTTTTATCGGAAATAAATATCGGGAAAATACGAGAAAATAATAAAATAAAATAATTTGCCTCGCCATGGAGAGTCACACGCTATCTGCTGGAGTCTCAGATTCCACTTGCGAGCAAATCTGTACGCGGCATTCGTAATCACCGAAATGGCAATCGGATTATTACCATTGAAATCCACATAAACTGCGGATAAATCACTTGTCATAATTACAATATTCAATGAGGCTGTTTCGATAATACGATTAAATCTGTAACTCACTGTGTTGGCCAACATTTTCACCACAGATCCTTGGGACTCTTCTAGCAGATCCAGTAACAAGTAGGAAATCCAAATCGCAAATTCCGGAGGCGTTTGGCTGAGCCAAATTGAAATCCAAAAATTCAATCCTCAACTGAAGAGAGAAACACTTGTTTTATCGTTTAATCCATAAGATTTCGATTTTCATACCTGGCACACATTCGTTGTACAAGGGTAAACTGTTATCATACATCTCTCTGAGCCAGTATGAGCAGAGTAATACCCCTCATTAACAAAGTACGTATTGTTGATCTTTGTAGTGGCCCCACATGTTTTTCGAACTAAAAATCATCAATCAATATCGAAATTTCGTAGCGAAATGGTAAACTAGGATGAGTGCATTTTTTCGTGACCAGTTTTCATCCACTAATCTCGTAATTGAAGGAAGATATCGTTTTTTTTGTAGAAACATTTTCCATAGAGAATAATGAGAGCTATAAAAAAGGTATATATGAAAATATAATTATCTTCCTTCTGTTCCGAGATTTTCGCTGAAAACTGGTCTCGCAAAAAAATGCACTTATGTTTAATCATAATGTAATTGCACTTACAAGTGCAGCAAACTCCTAAATTAGTAGCGCAAGATCCCGAGGGATTTCCGCCGTACTTTGAGCACTCTCTCTTCGTAAAACAAGTACCATTGAACGAATTGGAACCGAAACACTCGGAGTTTGCGAAGCGTACAACACTGAACAGTGGGAAAACTGCAGAATTAAACGAATGATAAGACAATGCAGGTGGAATTATCCCCGAGGGATGGATTCGTCAGAACTTACATCTTCCCTGGCGATGCTCCCTTATTTCTGACGTGTTATCATCCCCCAGGGATGGTGTCCAGGTCGTGGCCTCACCGGAAACAATTGTCGTTATGATAATAACAAAACTGAAAATCAATCCCAACATCTCGATCGTCTCTGAGAAGATATAATGACATCCTCTTCAGTTGTCTCAGCAAATTCAGATAACGGGAATTATTTGCACAACAATCGTCACAATTAGCGACTCTCCTTCTGAAGAATTTAGTAATGAGACGATAATTTGGGTAACGGTACTTTGAGTACCGCAAGTACAGATAACTAATCACTTCGTTCATTGAGCAATTTTTGTTTGTTCGTTTAACTCACGTTATTTTATTTCCTCAAATTTCCAATATTTATAAATTCTTTTCATTTTTTGTTAGCGCAATGTAACATTGATTATTTTATTCGTTGGTATTTCTTCACTGTTACATAAAATATTTCAATTATTTCACTATTTTCGGTTTTTCATGATAAATTCTATCAAATTTTGTAAATTCAGGTACGTGACGTGATCTCTAAACTAGAATACGATCAATTCACCGACGAGCTTGAGACCCTGCAGAAGGGGCAGTGCCCGTGGCGAAGAAGTGCCAATTCGTAATCGTCTGCATGGAAAAACTAGAAGAAAAAGAAATAATAATAATTTGCATACGTCTCTGGAATAATAAAAATGTAATGATAAAATTCTCACCCTCAGACATGATTTGCAGAACGTAACCTGTAAATCAGTGAGTAAATTCCTGTAGTATCGAGTCTTGAATGGTTCAGGCCACTTGACAATCAAAACACTGGACGGTTCCATGCTCCTGAGAACCCCTCGTCCCACCTTCACCACAGAATCATTGGTTTTATCATCGAATTTAATCAGCCTCGCAGTGAATAAATCAGCCTCATTACTATTAATCGTCAATTGATTCTCAACGACTGTAGAATTATCAGCAGAGGGCACAGGTTCCTCAATCAATCTTTCAGCCTCTTCATCGGTGATAGCATTATCGAGCTCGAATTCAACAAGAGGTAGAGTCTCAAACATAACGAACGAGTGCTGAAATCTGAGGCCACATTGTATACATCTATTGCTAGAAGTGTTGTTCGCTGGTAACAGTGAGTTGAAAGTTGAACACCTGTAGCAGAGTGGAAGTAGCTCCTCAGGATCTCTGTACTGATAAGCCCTGGCCCCCAGAGTGGCCACTTCAATTTGCGCCTGAAGATGCTCCGGAACTTTCATTCCCCTCAATCTCTCCAATAGTTGCATCGCTAATTTATTAGCCCCCAAGATCCTCGCTTGCTTCACTAGCGCATAAGTTATCGTCAATTTAGAAATTCCATCCACCCGCATTCCCTGAATCTTCATTAATAGAAATCGAGAAATATTGAAAAGAGCCTCAGGCATCAACGAGGTGAAAGGCTCTTCCATGTACTTGAACACTTCATAATACGCGTAATACACATCGGCTTTGTCCGCATACTCAGTAAAAACAATTTTTATCTCCTCAGTATTTTTATTCAAATCTAAACTCAACTGAGAGAGAAGCCAGTAAAAATAAGAGGCATCCCTGAATCGTCTCTCGCACACTGCATTATTAGCCAACGTTGTCAGTACGATGATGGACTCTTCAGGTTGTCCAGCAGTTTGAAATGCCCTCTGGGCCTCTGAGAATCGACCAGTCTCCGCCAGCCACCTCGCGTAGGGCCCATAAACTCTGGACTTCAGTTTAGGATTTCTCTCGGCAAGTTCGAAGGCCTCTGGCCAGGCCTGAGCATCAACGAGGACATCAGCGACGTCAGGATCATCCCCAAGACGACTAAAAATCTCAGCTGCTCCATGGGTTGCCCCCAGCTGTTTCAGCTTCTTGGCAATTATGGAGAGACTGTCACGTTCAGCTTTATCCAATTGTCTTCCCACTTTGATGAGCATATCAATCCAGCCGTACTCAGCAATGATGTTGATGGCTCTCTGAACATCCCCAGCTGCCAGGAACATCTCTGCAGCTGCTCGAGGCTCTCCCAGACTCTTAGCCCACTCCGCACGCTTCCGAAGAAGAACCGTTCGATCCTGAGTGTTACCAGCGGCTATAAATTCTTGAGCTATATCGAACATCCTCAGGTCTGAGTACATGTCAAGAGCATATTGCTGTAATCCAGCTTTTTGATACAGTCTCGCAGCCTCTCGAAGTCTACCCATGGCAGCTGCAGCTGTTGCCATGCAGGCTTCCTTTCCCCATTCCCCAGACTTCAACTTCTCCTCAATGTCAGACACAATTTCAATGTAACGGAGTTTCTTCAATCTTGCGAATGCAGCCTGAGCTATCTTCAACTCCAATTTATCGAGAGCTGCGATTCCCAGGGCCAACCAATCACTCTCTGCCACCCCAAGGCAGGCGATTGCATAAGCCTCATCAAACATCCCAATCTCAAGATATTGGTACATCGTCGAGGACAGAGGAACCTCCACCCTGATGATGTTCGTGCCATTTATGCAGTGGACTATCGATCCATTGTGGCCCACAACAAATCCACAGAATTTCTGTTTATACTCTGGAAAATTGGCGACTTTTGTCGCCAGGTAATCTCTACCTGAGAAACACATCATGTCCTCGAAGGCGCGGTTGAAAGCAACACTCGTGACGTCGTAGAACTCCTGAAGTTTCTCTTCTGTGTAGAGATCGAATACTGATAGTGTATTATTCTCACTGACAACAGCTAATTTTTCTTTGAGTGAACTCACGTCCAAACATCGAATTGGGCCTTCAACCTTCGCCAGGTGCGCAGGGAAGGGGTTGTCCAGGTAAATCTTCATGACTTGACCGCTCTTCAGGCCTGTGATTAAGCATTCCTTGCCTGCAGGCCCCCCAACCACTTTGATATACGTTATGGGACTGTCCAGGATCCACTCTCTCTCGACGACTCCAGTGAATGATACACTCTGCAGTCGTTTCTCAAGACACAGAACCAGATGATTGGACGTCACTACGAGGAGATTGCAGTCTAGCGTCTGAGGGAGTTTCTCCTGAATTCTATAATGCATACTGTCATTTGTACCAGATGGCTCATAAATGATCACTCGTTCCGGCAACTGAACTGCCAATTTGTCTCGATAAACTGCAATCCTCTGTATCAAATCCTTGCACTTGATGCGAACCTTTTGATTCGTGGTCAAATGCTGAATTATAACATCAGTCATATTCTCACGGTAGGCGTAACGATCCCCATAGAGGCCGTGGACAATGCTCCAGGTCATCTGGAGATACGTAATTTTACCATCTTGACTTCCAACAGCGACATGACTCGAAGCTGGATGAACTGCACAACTCCACACCCAAGAGGAGAAACTGTCACCCACTGTCGACAGCTGAATCCCCTCGTGGGTCATCAGGAGACATTTTCTATTGCTTCCAACTACCAGGAGATACTGTCCCTCGGGGAAGTGCACGATTTTCAGGGGAATGAAATTAACAATCCGCTCTCGACCGATTTGTTTGCCAAAGAGGCTGTGGAAGGATATGGTTCCACCCCACTCTGCAATACAGAGGACATCCATATTGGAGTCGTCCTTCAGAGGACCCCATGACAGGCTCCATATCGATGTTGCACCTGATCTCTCGACTCTTGTCTGCTCCTCACCATTTTTATTGCGTATGGATACGTAACCAGCTGCCAAACCAATTGCCAGGTACTGTCCGTCCCTCGTCCAGGCGCAGCAATTCACTCGACCCCCAGACTTGTGCTTCTGCACCGCCTTCTGCTCGGATGACCAAAAAGCGATGTCGGATATCGAGCAGCTGACCAGCTGATGGGATACTGGATTGAACTGCATGCACTGGACTGCATCGTTGTGGGAATATTTCAAGATTCCTTCGAGTTTCGATGTCCACACGATTACACTCTTGTCCGCACCACCCGAGGCGAATTTCTTTCCATCTCTTGCGTAGCATACGCAGTAAACAGTATCTTTATGACCTTTCAATGTTTGAATCAGCACGCCTTTTTCTGTTTCATACACGAGTACTTGCTGACCAGCAGTGACAATAAGTTGACTTCCATCAGGATTGAAGCACAAGTCGTAAATGCATCGCTCTGTCTTGTCCTGGACTTCCTCGACCCAAGCCAACTGTGCCCTCATCCTTCAGGACAGCAAATTCCCAGAACTTGCTGTTTTTACTCTTGAATTAGGAGCATTAGGAATTGTCAAATTGATCTGTTGTGCCGTTACCAGGGTAACCCACGGGATTTTTAGTAAATTCTAGTTTCACGCCGTCGACATTGCAACCCTCAACATAACCAAACATTTAATCGTGAACCGTGATTTTAGTCAAGGTCGTGAGTACGACGTCGCTTGGGAGGCGAGTGCAGCTCGCGCTTGTCAAATAACTTATTTCTAGAATTCCTTTATTGTTGAAACCATCGTGTTTAATTTAAGTCTCGTACCGAAAACGTCTGTGATTCGTAAATTCCACGATATTATCAATAAACGTGTCTTGTATGCCTCGAGGAGTCATACTGACTGATTTAGCAGTGTCGATAACATGATTAAATTATTTTCGTTGAAACAAGCGAAAAAAGATGGCGAATCACCGAAGGCAGGTACTCAGAAGAAGGCATCGGCGGCACAGCTGAGGATTACAAAAGGTTAGACCGAGCATTATTCTGTGAAGATGAGAACTATTGATCCAGCATTCGTTCAAATCCATAATTTATCACCACAGATATCAACGAGCTGAATCTTCCCAAAACATGCAACACAGAGTTCCCCGATCCCGATGACTTGTTAAATTTTAAATTAGTTATTTGTCCCGATGAGGTAATGACTGTTATCAGCGTCATCGTCGAGGTTTATCGGATGATTGAGTGCATCATTGGTTTTTTTTACGTTTCAGGGTTTTTACAGGGGGGGAAAATTCACATTTAGCTTTAAGGTTGGACCGAATTATCCCCATGAACCGCCAAAAGTCAAGTGTGAAACTCAAGTGTATCATCCAAATATTGATCTTGAGGGAAATGTGTGTCTCAACATTCTGAGGGAAGACTGGAAGCCTGTACTCACGATTAATTCTATTGTATATGGATTGCAGTATCTTTTCTTGGTGAGTTTATGATTTTTTCATTGAATTCTCAAGTGGTGGTTATGGATTGTGAAAAAGAATTTCCATAGATATCAGTAGCAAACTGGTCCAATATTTACCACTCTTCGACCTCGAAAAGTATGTCAGAAAAAAATATTAAAATAGTGGTTTTCTAAAGTTTCTTTAACTCCAAAAAAAGTCCTAAATACTTCCGCCTGAAATCAATATTTTACGATATGACTCATTATTCCAAAAAAAAGTTTAAGAATATCAGAGAGAGGGAAGCGTCAATTTTTTTAAATTTTCAATGAATTCAGGAAACTGAGCCCGAAATAAAAAGTCTTATCTCGCTTTGCGATCGCTCTGCTTAACAACTCGTTGAGTTTGTTTTCATTGATTTTATTGTGATGACTGCAGGAACCCAATCCCGAAGATCCACTCAACAAAGAAGCTGCGGAGGTATTACAGAACAACAGGAGAGCCTTCGAACAGAACGTAACAAAAGCGATGAGAGGGGGCTACGTCGGTTCGTTCTACTTCGAACGGTGTCTCAAGTGATACATTTTTTTCTACGTCAATGATTCTCAATGCAATCTCTCACGAATCGTCATCTAGAGAAGAATTGAGCTCCCCGACGCAGTAACAAAAAAAAAAGTAAATTGGCACTATTGTCGACCTCCGTTATTATTTTTGTTTTCATTTTATTCTCTTGGTTTTACCGAAATATCTGCCACAGCTTTTACACATTTGGCTAACTTAAATCATGTAAAATAGCCACGGGATATGACTCCCTCCATTACTCTCCGAAAATATATAGAGCAGTACGAATCATTTGGATATTTCATATCGATTTTTTTATTGACAAACTTCCGCACATGCAAAGCGCCAACTTTTGTCGCTGCTCGGGCAGTTTAAGTGTACAATTGCATAATATATCTTCTCAAGGCGCCTCCTAACGTGATTTAATTTCAATTCGAACACGACGATGTGGAGATTAATTGTAAAAAAAAATGATGAATTGCTGGGTAATTAAATTGCGTAAAAGAATTTTAGATACTTGAGAAGTTGAAGATGGAAAAAAAATGTGAATGAAAAAATGTGTGGTAGTCGTGAGGAAAATATTACGCCGGATTTTATTTATTAAATATCGAGGGAACATAACGCTCCCGTTGGTCGATTGATGCTATAAATATTTTTAACTACTTCCTTTTTCTTGTCAGCTTTCACCATTTCATTTTTTTCTGAACTGATATTAAACTTAGATAAAATGAAAAAATTATCACTGAAATTGTAGTCCCGTTTGGTTGTCAACGTTTTTTTTACTTTGCAATAATTAAAAAATGTTTATGGCTTAACGCAATAGTTCATTGGGGGGGAGTATTGGCTCTCTGGGGGACTGGGTGAGTGCTTCAGAGAGCGATAAATCTTGTTGTAAAGACTCTTCAATACTTTCCGCACTCGATAATTTTCTGGTTTTTTTTTTTAAATAAGAGATGTAAATTAAAAATTAATAAAATTGTTGCGACTCGAAAAATTCTCACGCAGCTATGTAAAGATATATTCAATTATAAAAATAAATGAAACAATAATTCTGCGACAATCGCCCCCTTTCCATTTATAATATTTCAAATTTCTTACAAGGCACTTCTCACTCAATTATCTTCGATTTGTATTTTTTTTTTTGGCTTTGACTGGGCTTTTTATTACTCCTGTTGCACTTGGTTTCCACAATTCAATTGTACCAGGTCAGGCGATCGCAGAAAATATAAACAAATCTTAGTACGAATTGAGATTAAAAATCAATTCTTCATATTAAAAGTAGCTTTTTGATATATTTAAAACCAACGATTTAACAGTTTTTTCTTAACAAATACCACATCAACTCAATTTCCTCTGAAGATCCTTCAGCTTGCAAAAACAAAAACGAAAAATGAAGGTCAACTAAAATTTTCGGTATGATTAACGTAACTTTTCGCTTCTAGCGGATACTGTGTCTGGTTAAACTGCAACCATGAATGAGAATTATTTAAAAACTATTCGAAAAATGAAAAGAAGGAGATTCACTAAACGGAGTACTAGTGGAAATAAATTAGTATCCAAAGCATTTATGTAAAATCAATACATACCACGACCAGTGGTTTCTGTATTTTGACAAAAGCATTATCGTTAACTCCGTCGGTTCCACAATGTACAAAATCCACCGGCTCAGACTCATTTTATTGCCTCACTGTTCGACCCATCAAATCATTCTTATTCGTAATTTGTTAAATTTTTTTTGACATAGGCTTCATCACGATTGTGATTATGCAAAGAGTGCATTTAATGTACAAGATCTTTCACTTTACACAAAAATAGTAAATAGGATGCGTAATGTCTTCGAAGTGGTCATGTTTACAATCGTGCGCTATAAGTGTTTTGCTTCCATTCATTTCTCTGTTAAATCCTCGTTTTGAAAATTCTTTATTCGTACTTTGCCCATCGATCAGATGTACTCGAATGTTTCATGATTAATTTTATTCCTTCTTTACTTACTTATACGTGTTCTAGAAATATAACTGTTAAGAAAAACTTATTTTTATCGACCTAAGGGCGTACCACCGAAATTAAATGAAGTCGGCACAGTCTGGGAGTGGAAGGCATATCCTGCAACATAAAATCAAAATGATAAGAAAAAGAATCCCTGAAAAAATATCCTCGAAAAAAATATCCCGGAAAAAATATCCCCGGAAAAAATATCTCCGATAAATAGATATTTCCGGGATATTCTTTCCGGGGATATTTTTTCCGCCACCCGGAAGAAATCGATCTCATTCAACTCACCACCACTCTGTTCGATTCTTTTACTCTCTAGGGCAGCTTTGCGTTGATCCGCAAGTACAATCACCTCGTGGAGGGCTTTCCTCTGATCTGACGTCAGATGGCTGGTTAATGCTGTGTACCACTGTCTATCTGTTCTCTCAATATCTGCAGGAAATTAATTGACCATTAACGATTTTTTTAAAAATAATAATCCCTGTCCAATCATAAAATTCAATATAAAATCGTTTTACGTCATAAAATTAAAAATATAAATAAAAACCACTTACCTTGCATAACTTCGTTGAAAACGACGTACTCATCCTGATTATTGCCATCAAAATCTAAAGGTGTGATGTAGCACTCTAGGGTAGTCTCCTCGTTTGCCTCAAAATCCGAGTCATCGTTATCCTCATCATCTGACTTGTGCTCACCATGTCCATCCTGTATCGACGCATTGACATTGAATTCATGTGCACCAGCTGCCCTCGTCACTTTGCCTTGCAGCTTTTCCAGATAGTCCTGACTAGCGTCGTCAATCTCATCCTCGTCTGACGACAGAACCTCCTCCTCGAAGTCACTCTCCTCCTCGTCCTCCGGCTCCTCCTCGTTCTCGGCGACTTTAGCAGCATAGGCTCGCTTAAGACCATCAAAAAGTAAAATCAAAGATGGAATAATTTGTTGAGCGCATTCATTGACAGCTGGAGGTCTGGCTGGACCCATGCTGATGAGAGTGCATAATCCAAGGACACAGAGTTTGCGATCGTGAAGGCCCAGAAAGCAATCCGTGTCGTGAATCCACTGCTTGATGAAGTGAGAGGCAATCGGTTCGGTAGATTGACCGAGACTCCCCTGGAGTCCATCCATAGCCTCCAGACACAACGTCGGATTGTAGTACAGAGCTGCTATGACAACCTGAAGACACATAGTTCTCAATTCGGATGTCTTAACTTCTCTGGTCAAACGTACGAGGACAAGTCGCACAATGGACGGTATACACTGATCTATCTGTCCCTTGCACTGCAGAATAATAACTTCCAGAAGTTTGGCTGCATGACACTCTGGATCCTCCCCAGCATCTTCAGTCAATATAGTTTTGCACATATTGAACATGGCTAAAATATGATTTTCATTGGAGAGAAACGCTGGAGTGTCGACTGTGATGTAGTTATGAAGTGCTGGCATCATGTCAGTGAAGTAATCAAAGCCATCCTTCTGCTGGAACAGCTGGTACATCAGCTCCAAAACCTTCCACATGTCCTCAGATATAGATTTACCAGTGAGATCGTAAACGAGAGAAAGTGCCTCTTCATAAAACTCAATAACACTCTGTCCAAAAATATGAGCGACAACTTGGAGAACTGTCGGCTGCAGCTGTGCCATTATCTGAGGCTGATCCTCCATAACCGCGAGTAGCGTTGCAATTGTGTTGAGAAGACCCATCGCAGTGATAGCTTTCTCATCGCTCCCCTCGTCTGTCTCCAGTACCTGACTAAATGTTGTCGCCAAGTGCTGACATATCTCAACAGCTAGCGGCATCAATTGCTCAGTATAGGTGCACACTATCTTCTGCATTACATTCGTTAACTCATCGTTCTCCGTTTCTCTTATTATATTGAGCAACTCAAGGGTTATCTGCCTTATCAGTGGTTCAATGTATTTCTTGGCTTTATCTTGAGCTGTTAAAAGTGTCAGCACGCACATTGCTGCCTCGGCTTTAACCGGAATTTCTTGCTCATGGAGGAGTGCATTTGTGGCCAATCGAATGGCCTCGACGAGAATGGCTTCTTGTTTGAATTTTATATCTGAGAAATTCTGGAGGACCCAGCAAGCACGTGCCCTCATGTGCCCATGGGGATTGACGAACTCTGGAAAAACGTACTGCACCAGCATTTTGTCCATCTGGTCCTTATACAGCTTCTTCTCGAGAAGAATATCAGCTAAAGTACCGACCATATGCAGAGCACCATCTTTTTGTCTGGGATCGGCATTTGGACTCGTCAGCACTTCCATACAAAACTGCATTGTTTTCTGAAGCATGTCCTTACGTTTCTTGCAAGCTGCCTGCAGCAGAGTCTGGGCTGCTGTTACTGGTGACACAAAGTCCTCGAATATATCAAACTTTACACGAATGTATTCGTAAGGGTCACTGTTCCACATCTCCTCATCAGACGCTGAATAACAGAGAATTGGAAAGAGAACATCTCTGATAATCTCAAACATGTGTGGCTTCAGAAATTTCCAGGAGAACGCGTGACTCACACCCTGCTTTATATAATTTAAGGACTGTTGAATAACCCTCGGGGATACATAGATCTTTCGCCTGTACTGATCAAGTATTTTGAGAAGTACTTCGAGTATACCACCACTGAATGTTCGTAAGTACCATTCAGCAAATTCTTTGTACTCTTTGGTTACAACGCCTGGACTGCCATATCTCTCGAACATACGATAGAGAATGTGGAGGGCCCATTTTTTGCACTTCCACCAGGGTAATTCGGCGCGTTCATCCTCGTCGAGATCGGGACCATTCGTGAGTGATCGAGGCACTGGCCTGTCAGCCACTTGTCTAACAACGTCCATCCATTGGGAGAATACCTCCTTCGAAATTAAATCCAGGGGAAGAGAATACTGTGTCAGGGCGAAAAATATTTTGAGTATTTGCTTCTGAAGGAGGACCGATTGCTCAGACGGATCTGGTAGGAGACGTAAGATCAGCTGATAGATCATGGGGAACAGTAAATTCATCGCTTCGTTTAAAGGACCTCGTTCCTCTGCTTTCTTGTGCCTAAAACGCATTTTTTTTTCGTTAGGAACGTAATGTCGAGGGAAAATTCGGATTGCGAATCAGTTGCAAGAAAATAGATTACTCGAAATTTTTAACAAGTTGATAGAGCGCCAGAAGAACTCCAGGCCAACATGAAGCGTCTGGATTCTGCAGATAAATCGTTATTTTATCGACGATTTGAGTCCAACGCCCTGGAAAATCATGTTTAACGATGTTGCTGATGCAAACAGCCAATTGAACACGTACGAGCTCCGGTGCATGTACAACAGCATCAACAATGGCATCACGTATCATGGCACGATCCTGTTCATGAATGCTGAATAGAGCTGGTCCATTCTGGAGTTCACGGTCAGCCCAGCTTGTTGTTATTAAATTCTTCAAGTATATAACGCCTGCAATATTCAACACTCCATGTGACATAAATCAATAACTAAGTGATAATGTGAGATAAGTCGAAGTCTATATTTCTCTTCATCGTGGATTTATCCCCGCAGCTATAAATGCAAGACGAAAGTCTTAAGGAACTGTTTTCCACTGATTAAAATTCGGACAAAAAAACCTTTTCAGATTTTCTCTTAAAATCAATAATCGTCAGACTGAAGCTATATTTGTAAAAACAAAATTCGACTGCTCTCACTTAACCACTGGGCAACTAAAATCTTTTCTCCTGGAATTTTCATGATATTTGGGGGATATTTTACGTACCAGCTTGCCTGACAGGCATGTCAACTTCGTTCGACATTACAACTTGCAGTAAACTCGGTGCAAACCCGATTATTTTGTGAATCTGAAATCAACCAGTCATTGAATTGATGAAATAAAAAAATATATATAATCTCCTCTGCCTTCGATTGATCGTCTCATTCCCCATTTGTCTGACAATAATTGCTCCCTGAATCTTTGACTCGTCGAGCCCGAAAATTGGAGTCGGAGGAAACATGGAAATCTTGGTTATATATAATTCAAGAATGGAATACATATGATTGGCATTCCAATTGGCAGCTTGGGGTTATCCCTCGCATACCAAAGTGACTAATTTTCTGATTGAGTACATTAATGCCCCAAAAAGGCGTCTTGAAATCTCTCTCGTTTCCCACCCTCATAAAAAATCCGACAAATTCCTGTAAACTAGTTTCAAAACCGGATAATTTATCCCTAGTACTGAATAATTCGAGGAGTATGCATATGTAATGATAAAAGCTTGGCCTGAAAAATTCATTCGCATAGTTAGTGAGTATTATTGGAGAGATCCAGGGGCATGCAGATAAATGAGGGATTTATGCCTGAAAAAGAGCACCAGGAATATGTGCCACTGGCATTATCGATGGAATAACGCCAAATAAGCAAGGGTCCATGGACAAATGATTCGTGGAGCACGTTTTCATCATCGAGGGACGACTCACCTGATTAAGCTGCTCCTCAGCTTGTTTTTGCTGTGCCGGGTCAATACTTGCCCTCAACAGTTCCGTCAATTTACGTGGATCCATGATCACAGTGGCTAATTACAATTACAAAAAATATCTGTAGCCTGCACGCTGGATTTTCTCAATTAAACTTTAAACACGCGTGAGAAGAATTTTTCTTCTTTTGACTCTAACAAAATGTGTGTGTGCAAATCGCCACCCGGCGCATTCTCCTCATTGCTCCCTCTCCATCACGTGACACATGAACAATATGGCTGTTACAATTACTCAAAAAAATAACGATGAATTTACCCAATTTATGGGTGATATACCCACCAAAACAGTGGGATTCTAAAGACCAAAGTTTACGCAACAACTCTGCAAATTTTTTGACATCTCATTCACCGAAAAAAAAATGGTCGAGGTGAAAAACAGAAGTGAATCACATAACCCGCGAAATTGTCGTTGCACGAGTGGAGTTTAGTTTATCCAGGTGGCGATTTCGTTGATTTCCGGTTTTATATATTTTCCAGGTACTCGGTGGAAGTTGTGGAACTAGAGATCCACCACGAAGAGGATAGGATAAAGTAAAGGCTCAATCAGAGAGGATTGACTAAAGGAAAGGCTCAGTTCTGGGGGTTTGAGTGACCCCAGCGGCATCGTAGTGTTGCACCCCAAGAGAGGGAGGGCGCCACACGTAATGCTGGGGTGTCCATCAAGTTGAGGGGGTGAATTTTATTTTCTGCGGTATGAATGCTCTTTGTTTTTATTTGTTTAATTGAAATTTAGTCGACTGTAGAACGAGCGGAAGGGGGAAGCCACATCTTGTGGAATTTCAAATGAAAAAGATTATTCAATATATTGAAGATATACCACTAATGAAATGATATTTTCATAATGAGCGAATTGCCTAATTGGCAACGCGCTTGACTGGCACGCGGATCCCTTGGGTTCGATACCAGCAACATTCATTTTTTTTTTTCAAAATAATTCCAATTTTATCTTTTTTTAATTGGCTAATCAATGGAAATATTGTTTAAAAACTGAATTTTTAAAAATCGAGAAGATATCCAGTGAAATTGAAAAATTAACAATTTTTTAAAACGATACTTTTGCAAAATATATACTACTAATGAAATTATATTATGATAATAGTTCGTTATCCTAGTGGTAACGTGCTCGGCTAGCACGCCGACGGCCCGGGTTCGAT